AACACTTTTTAAATAAGTCCTCCCTGTGCTCCTTTATTTTGCCACCAAGGATGATGATGCTTTATAACTAATTGGTTTCTTTATTTGACAGCTTTGAAAGTCTCTAGAAGTTGGTCTCTTGAATATAAATAATTTATGAAGCACCTACCACACATGCTATACACTATTTACATTGAGAACTGACCAACATCCAGGCCCTTATGATGGAACTTACCTGTCGGAAAGGGTTGGCAATATTCTTCTTTCATGGGTTACAGTAACCATGTTATACATTCGTAGTTTTAAAACTAACAAAGTATTATAGTTATAAAATATTTTAATCTAGTTTTCTGCAATTATCAGCATCATAAATAAAACCAGATAGATAGATAGACTTCCTATTAAAAAAAAGAAAGAAATTAAGCTTACTTTTACATTTCTCTCATGATTTCTAGTCCTGCTGATCCAATCTGAGATTTTTGATGATTATAATTTTTAAGAAATTACTTTTACATTTTCATTCTTTTTAAAGAATTTATTGACATTATCATTTCCTTTTTATTATCTGCTTAACACTATATAGACTTCACTCTCATACTGCTCACTTTTATAGAGACATCTCTTTCCCCTTCTTGTAGTTTTAAATTTTATTTATATTTCTGTATATCATCAAGGGATCTTTTGGAAAAGATTTGCAGGTGACTTAGTCTCTGACCCTGTAACATAATGTTCACCTCTAACTATCACCTTGTAAAATGTCATCTTGTGAAATTATTTATTTAATTGGAGATAATCTATTATTTCTACTATAGATGTTCAAAAAACATTTTGCTTACATCTAAAATATAGATCCCTATGATGTGTTTATATATGTGAATTTATGTTATATATTTGTATAACATAAATGTTTTCTATTTATTTGTTAAATATAATGTATACTTAAATATTTAAATATTTCCTAGAAAATATTTAGTGTTTTACCTCTGCTGTTTGATTTCCTCTCCTGACCTTCAGTGGCTCTGCTCCATTGGATTTGTGGGCTCACCTCAAGTCTTTTCTATTATTTCAGTCACCATTGCATTAGTTCTGTTCCTTCTTGTCTCTCCTTCTGTACTTTCTATTATGTAGCCTCTGTGATCCCATTTTTCCTCCTAGGTTTGTCCTTCTTTTTTTTAATTTTTCTCTCTGTCACGAGGGGAAAAGTTGCCATGTATGCAGTAGAGGGGGAGAAATAAAGCATGTCCACGCGCTTCTGCCCTTTTCAATGCTTTATTCACTCAAATCACTCAATACAATTTCACTCTATAGGTTCTTAATCAAGAAAAAGATAATCCTTAATGCTAGGCACTACAATAGATATATAATCAATTCACAGCAAACAATTCTAGATTAATTCTAAGCATGGTAAACACACTTGATCATGACAGGCTAATGACAGACATTCCCTCTGCATGCAAAGTTAAAAAGTCTCAAGCCTTAGGCTTTAAGTCCAGCAGATGCACACTCACTCAGACCACAGTGATCAGGTCAGGAACCAAGGCAGGCTTCTCCTGGGATAGAGGTGATGGCCAGTAGAGGAGAGGGTCGTAGGGAGAAGTTGCGCCTCTCACCAGGGTCAAGATGTGGGCGTAGAGTTTGAGAGCAGTGAGGATCATACAGAGGATGAAACAAATGTGACACGTGATGGGACCTCAGTCGGAGTCCTCTTCAGGTTCTCCAGCTGGAGTGCATCCTTGTTTCGGCTGGCTGAATCCCTGTTCATTAGCTTTGTTATTTATACTAAATTTTGAGACTTTTTGACCCCCCCCCTCTTTCAAGCCTTATCAGTTACCACCAGATTTCTCAGTGACATCATTCAATCTGGGGGTTAAAACATCTAGTCTGGTGGTCTCCACCATGATCTTCTCGCCTTTCCCTCTTATCAGGCGAGGAAAGCCTGCCAGAGGCTTCACTCTGTTTATCAGGGAAAGATAAAGACTTGTTTATGTCGGAGAGCTATACTGGAGGGCTCTGTTAGGCATGCCTGGTGAGACTGCAGGTTTCAAACTAAAGTTTTTACAATGAAGTTGGTTAGGCTCAGGCCTAAGGCCATCCTCACACTCTCCCATCATTTTTTTTTTTTTTTTTTTTTTTGATTCATGTGACTAGAAGGTCCAGAAGTTAATTCTGGTTTCTTTCTTTCTTTCTTTCTTTTTTTTTATTAAATTCATGACAATAGTGGAATGCATTACACTCATTATTACCCATTCACAGCACAATTTTTCGTAACTCTGTATATAAAGTATGTTCACGCCAAATTATGCCATTATACATGTACTCTTTTTTTTTTTTAATGGGAGGAAGATTGTTTCTAGATAGGGAAGAGGGGTGGGAGGGGAAAGGGAGGGGGGAAGGGGATTAGCAAAGATGGAGGAATGTGATGGTCATCATTATACAAAATACATGTATGAAGATTTGAATTTGGTGTCAACATTCTTTATATATACAAACAGAGATATGAAAAATTGTGGCATATATGTGTATTAAGAATTGTAATACAAAAAAAAGTACATCTCCCATCATTTTGAGGTCAATATTGTTCTCTGAGCTCTGGGTGCATCCCTTAAGCTTGTTCTATTCTCTTCCACAGTACCTTTCTTGTGAGATGTATCTTCCACTTGGGTCTTCAGTTTGGTGGTTAGAATTGCCATCTCTCCAATTTCCCCTTTTTATTTACTCCTTCTTTCTAAGTGCTTAAGATCACAATATCATGATTACAGTGCTTTTTGAAATTCTTAACATGAATTTCTAAACTTTCATTGGTATCTTGCAGTAATTGTTCCCATTGATTTCTCTCTCTGAACTATGGTGTCTTTTCATAGCTCCAGGAATTTTTATGCTTATTCATCATTTTTTATTGATTTTATTTTTTAAATACATGACAGTGGAATGCATCACAATTCTTATTACATATATAGAACAATTTTTTATACCTCTGTTTGTATATAAGTATGTTCACACCTATTCATGTCTTCATACATGTACTTTGGATAATGATGTCTATCACATTCCATGGCCCTTGCTAATCTCCTGCCCCCACCCTTTCCCTCCCACCCCTCTGCCCTATCTAGAATTCATCTAATCCTCCCATGCTCTCCCTCCTTACCCCACTATGAGTCAGCATCTTTATATCAGAGAACATTCGGCATTTGTTTTTTGGGGGGACTGGCTAACTTCACTTAGCATTATCTTCTCCAACGCCATCCATTTACCTACAAATGCCATGATTTTATTCTCTTTTATTGCTGAGTAAAATTCCACTGTGTATATATGCCACATGTTTTTATCCATTCATCCACTGAAGGGCATCTAGGTTGGCTCCACAGTTTAGCTATTGTGAATTGTGCTGCTATAAACATTGATGTGGCTGTGTCCCTGTAGTATGCTGATTTTAAGTCCTTTGGGTATAGTCTGAGGAGAGGGATAGCTGGGTCAAATGGTGGTTCCATTTCCAGATTTCCAAGGAATCTCCATACTGCTTTCCATAATGGCTGCACCAATTTGTAGTCCCACCAGCAATGTATGAGTGTACCTTTTCCCCCACATCCTCGCAAGCACTTATTGTTGTTTGTATGCATAATAACTGCCATTCTGACTGGAGTGAGATGGTATCTTAGAGTGGTTTTAATTTGCATTTCTCTAATTGCTAGTGATGATGAACATTTTTTCATATATTTGTTGATTGATTGAATATCCCCTTCTGAGAAGTGTCTGTTCATGTCCTTGGCCCATTTATTGATTGAGTTATTTGGGGTTTTTTGGTGTTTAGCTTTTTGAGTTCTTTATATACCCTAGAGATTAGTGCTCTATCTGATGTGTGAGGGATAAAAATTTGCTCCCAGGATGTTGGCTCTCTATTCACCTCACAGATTGTTTCTTTTGCTGGGAAGAAACTTTTTAGTTTGAATCTATCCCATTTAATGATTCTTGGTTCTAATTCTTGCGCTATAGGAGTCTTATTAAGGATGTTGGGGCCTAATCCCACATGATGGAGATTGGGGCCTACTTTTTCTTCTACTTTTTTTCTAGACACAGGGTCTCTGGTTGTATTCCTAAGTCCTTGATCCATTTTGAGTTAAGTTTTGTGCATGGTGGGAGATAGGGGTTTAATTTCATTTTGTTGCATATGGATTTCTAGTTTTCCCAGCACCATTTGTTGAAGAGGCTATCTTTTCTCCAATGCATGTTTTTGGTACCTTTGTCTAATACAAGATAATTGTAATTTTGTGAGTTAATCCTTGAAACACTGGCCAGAGCAATTAGAGAGATGAAAGAAATTAAAGGGATACATATAGGAAAAGAAGAACTCAAATTAGCACTATTTGCTGATATGATTCTATACTTAGAAGACCCAAAAAACTCCACCAGAAAACTTCTAAAACTAGTAAACGAATTCAGCAAAGTAGCTGGATATAAAATCAACACCTTATAAATCAAAATCATTTCTGTATATCAGCGACAAATCCTCTGAGAAGGAAGTAAGGAAAACTATCCCATTTACAATAACCTCAAAAAAATAAATAAATAAAATACTTGGGAATCAACTTAATGAAAGAGATGAAAAATCTATACAATGAAAACTACAGAACCCTAAAGAAAGAAATCAAAGAAGACCTTGCTCATCATTTTAAATGTAGAACTGTGCTTACTGATGTAATGGTTCATTTAATTTGCAGCCTAGATCCGTCAGGATCCCTGACAAAATCCTTTACATTTTGACAAAGGGAGAAGAAATTTTACTTCATTTTAAATCCATGAGTCTAGGGAAGACAGCCACCAGTCTGTAGGGAATAGTGGACATATGGATAAACGGAAAGGCCCCACAATATGGTTCATCCAACAGTGAGCCTCAAGAGTAGCCTGTTCTTTTCTTGTAGCATCCTGCTCTACTGGCCACCAGCATTCCTCACTAGGGAGTACTTCTGAGCAGAAGCCATGTCTGTGATCTTGTAATCAATCTTTCTCTACTTTACTTTCTACAGGATTGCCCGGATGATCCGTCAGGAAAGAGGCAATGCCCTGCTTGTGGGAGTAGGAGGCACAGGAAAGCAGTCTCTTACAAGACTTGCAGCTCATATATGTGGTTACAAATGTTTGCAGATCGAACTTAGCCGTGGATATAACTATGATACTTTTCATGATGACCTGAGGAGGTTGTACAAATTGGCTGGTGTAGAGGACAAAAATATGGTTTTTCTTTTCACAGACACCCAGGTACATATTTAAACAGCTCACTTGTAAAATCAGGAAGTATATGAGTGTTACAATACAGCATATACTTTGCATAGTTTGTAGGATGAAGTTCAAGGATTATTGTCTCTGAAAGCAGATTATCTGCACTGTATAAAAGGCTTTTATAATATATTTTTATTTATCTTTCCAAGTTTTGTTTGTAAACTCTAAATAATTGTGATAAAAGGTTAAAGAGAAACTTTTTTGTGTTTTTTATGTTTTTATTAGTACATTACAGTTATACATAATAGTGGGGTTGAGAGAAAGTTTTAACTATTCTTTGATGAAAAGGACAAAGATAGCAGACGGTAAGTAAAATCAGATTAACTCTAAAATTAAAATAAGATTACATTTACATCTAAAATAGCCAACCTAACTGATCTTAAATTCTATAGTAAATGCTATACTTGGGTGTTTTAACTTTAGGGAAAATAAGCCTTCTAGAAAATATGATAGATTTAACGTATAACTATTTTAAACTTCTTTGTAATTTTTAAAACATTGTGACAAGGATTGAGTGCAAACACACGATAGGGAAAATATTTTCACCATCTACATGAAATGAGTTTATATCTTAGTATAAAAATACAAACAAAAAAGAAGAAATATAAAATAGAAGAAATATAAAAATGTAATAGAATGTGAATTAAAAGTTCCTAAAAACCTATTCAGCCTAACCAATAACTAAAGAAATGTAAATAAATAAAAATGCCATGAGCTTAGCATAGTAAAGGCTCTGGATTGGATCCCTAGCACCACGAAAATAAATAAATAACACTTGCTTGACATGTGTGAGGCCCTGGGTTCAATCTCCAGCACCACATAAACAGAAAATAAATGTGAAAGCATTAATGTGAAAATGCTTATAATGTGTTGTTATATCACCATATAAGCTCTTCAGTTTTATATAAACAGATATGCCATGTGTGCAACTAGAAATGTCTGGATCATGGGATTATGAGTGATTTTATTTTTCTTAGTTTTGCTATTTATAGTTTCTAATTATTCAAAAATTAAAATATTTCTTAATTTTTAGTATTGCTTTTAAAAATCAAGGAAGTTATATAAAAAGATTCTAAGTATTAAATCTCCAAAGATAAAGTCATATTGTCTTGCTCAACTCCAAACAAAAGCTATATTATACTCTGTTGAAAACCCCAATGTCAAATGTTCTACAGTAATGAAGAGTAGACACAGCTATAACTAAATCACATGTATACATGTGTGTATACAGGTGGATATACATATGTACATATGCAAAAGTATAAATGTGAGAAGAAATTGAGAGAAACAAATGTTTAAAATAGTTTAACTTGAATTAAGTAAAATATAAATGCTTTTTAAGAAACAAAGCAATAAGGAAAAAGGAATCAGTATACTTGCTAGAATTTTAGGATTAGAATATACTTGTTAGAATTTTAGGATTCTATCTAGTTTTTAGAACCATTTTCTCTTAAAGATAAAATTAACTTATGTGAATTTTAGAATAAATGTTTGCTTTATAATTTACAGGTAGTAACTATAAAATGAATTATAACAATCATTCTGCTTTCTTCTACAGATTGTAGTGGAGGAATTCCTAGAAGATATAAATAACATCCTGAATTCGGGTGAAGTGCCTAATCTATTTGAAAAGGATGAACTGGAGCAGGTGTTAGCAGCCACCAGGCCAAAAGCAAAAGAAGTTGGAATTTCCGAGGGGAACAGAGATGAAGTAGGACATGCCAGAATAGTTCCATGGCTTTCTAAACATAAAGTTGTCTTAAACTTTCATTTAACAATCTCTAAGTCCCCTTAACGGATCCATGAATGAAATTTCTTCAGTATAATTAGCTCTCTTTGTAACTCTGCATTTTATTTTCTATGTCTAAAGTGTGAGTTCATCAGTCTTCCAGAAAAGTGATGGAAGTAGAAAGTAAAAACCCTCCGGCCCTACGGAGATCATAGACTTGTCCAAACTGGACAGTTTCCCTTATTCTCCTTTAAGTCCAAGTTTATTTCTCACCCCTGCAGTGTCCTTCCTGAGAAGGGCTAGTGGGAAGTTCTAGTACTTTTGATCCCCTTGTGTATCAGAATGTTATGCACAAGTGAAACAGAAATGTGTTTTCTCTCACTCTCTCAGGAACTACCATTCATCTCCATTTCTCCAATACTGTGATTTCATTTATCTACCCCAATCTTTTTCTTTCTTCTTGGGTCTTCATCTTTTTGGCTATTCTTTCTCCTCAAATATACCAATGAGGATAACCTAAATAACATCCAGAACCCTAGTTGAAATGAAGTCTGCAAAATGTCATTTTTAATCTTTCCAACTGTAAGTCATTCGTTCAATCAAGAAATATCTGTTGGACAACTTCTCTAGTTGGAATGGATGTTCAACACAGTAATTCACATATCTACTGTGCTAGCATTTTTATTTAATAATGCATTAGCCTCAGATGGATTAGCCAACACTTACTTTCATCCTTATTTTAAATTGAAAAACATTGTTGCTTTTGTCAGGTGTTTCAGTACTTTATCAGCAGAGTTCGTCAAAAACTGCACATTGTTCTCTGCATGAGCCCAGTTGGAGAGGCGTTTCGGTCCCGATGCCGGATGTTCCCATCTCTTGTGAACTGCTGCACAATTGACTGGTTTGTCCAGGTTGGTGACTCAGTAGGACAGCTCTTTAAGAAGAGATTTTAGAGAAGTAATGTGTTGAAAATAACTCACAGTACTTGAATTAACTTTAAAAGTTATTCATACAAGGGATAACAATGACAATCAGCCAAAGACAAAACAGAACTTATGAAGAAAGAGGAGATCTTGAATTTAGCAGTACAGAAGTTATCAGTGATCTTGATGAGCTATTTCAATGGATGATGGGAGAGAGGGTTCAAAAGAGAAGGGGAGAGGAATCAGAGACAGTGATAATAGGCAACAACTTCAACTTCAAGAAGTTTTGTCGAAATGAAAGCAGAGAAATGAGGGTGAGAGAGGGGCTTATGAGATCAAGAATAAAGTCTTTTTGAGTGAGAAATATAAGCAGCATGTGTGTGTGATGAAGGTGAAAACGTTCTAGAAAAACAGAAATATATTGATGATGTTGTATACAACACTAAATGTGTGGAACCAATATCCTTTAGTAAATAACTGAATCATCAATTAAGAGGCTGACTTGGGCAGAAAGCATAAACAGCTTTCCCTGAGTAATAGGACAAGGGGTACAGACCCAGGTGGCAGAAGACACAGGGGTAAAGGCTCACTGAATTTGTTTGCCTTATTTCTTTTTCTTTTCTTTTTTTGATGAGGGAAAACAAAGTCATAAATTGAGGATAAAGAAGAAAAAGGAAGTGAGCAGTCAAAGGAAGTTAAGTAGGATATGAAATACTCACTTAAGAGAGCACAAAACCAAAGTGTTAGAAAATGTGGAAGAAATTTTGGGCTGCATTAAGGAGTTAGTTGTAAATTTTAAGTGCGGTACATCAAACATGACTGTGTTTTCTTTTGTTTTGTTTTCTTTTGTTTTGCTTTGTTTCTCTAGTCAGCTACACCTGCTCAGTTGCAGGCATGGAATAACAGAGAGTTGTGTTTTACTAGGGTTCAGGCAAGCTCAAGAAATAAGAAAAAAGCAAAGGAGTTAAGATGTGTGCAGGATCATGACTACAATGATGGTCCTGACACCACAACTGTATAATAAATAGAGTGAGGTAATGAGGTCCTCATAACAGATGATTCTGTTTATGGAATTCTAAAACTATACAGACATTCATTCATTCAAGAAATATCTGTTGGACAACTTCCGTATGTCTGGCACTGTCCTAGGAACATACTAGTCAGCAAATGCAGATTTGGGCCCCTCTCTAATGAACAGAAAGAGCCATTTCAGTTTATTGAGCACCAGAAACATGCATAAGAGATAACTTGGTGAAAGGAGGGACTAGACAAGGAAAAATTCCAGAGAAATAGTTTTCTCACTTGTTACTCTGCATGTTGTTGAAATGCCCAACAGATTTTCCAGATTGCTTCTTTATTTACAGTGGCCCAGAGAAGCGCTTCTTTCTGTGTCAAAGACATTTTTCTCAACTGTTGACACTGGAAATGATGAACTGAAAGAAAAGCTTTCCCTCATGTGTGTCAATGTTCACTTGAGTGTCTCCCAAACAGCAGACCGCTATTACACTGAGCTCCGCCGGAGGTACTACACGACGCCCACTTCCTACCTGGAGCTCATCAATCTCTACCTGACTATGTTGACTGAGAAAAAGAAGCAGTTAATTTCAGTATGTTTCAGTCCATTAATTTTGTGGGGGGTTTTTTGCTCAAACTGAAAACTTTGGGAGTGAGAGGATGATCTGTGTACCTGTCTAGAGCCCTTTTCATCCAGTCCTGTGACCTTGACAACCTGAAATGTGACCAAAAAAGGGTCCTGTGCTCTCAGTCCAAGGGCTCCCTATTCCTGGATATTTATATTTTCCTTCTATCATTTACATAAGTATCCTTGACTCAATAGAATGACAGGGACATAGTAATAGCATTAAAGTTAAGCAGAGATCTGGTCATCTCTGCAGTATTTAATATGGAGGGAAACTTTGTTTTAAGCAATCAAAATAAGGTTTTAATTGTCTAACATGTGCCAAGGACTTGAGTGTCTGACAAACTACATGTAACTTTTTCTGTTGAGCATGTTATACAATTTCTTTAAGGTTTAGTAGGAAATAAGTTTTAAAATATCTAAATATCCCTCTTGAATTTCTCTGGAATTTAAATAAGATATTGTTCATGAAGTTCTTAGAGTATGATCAAAGATATATGAGGTGCTCAAAAAATAGAGGCTGACATTAGCAACATCATCTGACCATTAACATGGTCTAAAATATTCAATGTTTAAACACAGTAAAAATGGAAGCATTTCCCAATAGACATTTAAAATGTTTTTCAAATGATTTTTACGTCATAAAATAAATGTATGCTCTTGTAAAATAACTTGACAGGTATTTTTGAAAACTGTCTATTTGAACCAATCTTTCTGACTCATTTTCAAAAAAATGCTTCTTCCCAGGTGTCTCCTCTACCACATCCTACTCTTTTGGTACAAGTCAAAATTTTTCACTCCTGGGGAATAAGATTCAGATATAGAAACTAGAGTTAGGTGTCCAGGACCTTGTTTCCCTGGGGTCTCAACCCTGCTGAGAGTAAACAAACTCCCAGGCCTCTGGGGATCCCTGCCTGAACTTATACCTCACTCATTCAACATGCTACCATGAGGAATGAAGATAATGCAGTGTGATCACTGCCCTCAGTGAGTCACAGTCCAGTGATGTGATGTCCCACAGCTGTAACCAGGGGACATGTATCCACACACATTGTGGAAAATGGCATGGCCATTTCCTAGAGTTCTGTTACCTGAAGACTTTGAAAATTGCAAAAATTTTACAACTTGAAGTATTACAAACTGATGTACTAATTCTGTAGCTATAAAATTAATTTATGAGTAACAGAGGCCAGTAAAACCTGTAATTTATAATGCTCATTATAATAGAAATTTTTGTTGTCATTTAGGCAAGAGATCGGGTGAAGAATGGTCTCACGAAGCTACTACAAACAAATATACTGGTAGATAATATGAAATTAGAACTTTCAGCTCTAGAACCTGTGCTTTTGAAAAAATCACAAGATGTTGAAACCCTGATGGAAAAATTGGCAGTGGATCAAGAAAGTGCCGATCAGGTATGATATATTACCTGATAATGTAGGTGAGGTAATATATCATTTATATAGAGTGACCCATGAGCAGATTATTTTATTATATATCAGTCAAATATTAGGTGTCATTTAAATAAATAGTTTTGGCAATACTATTTTTTTCTAGAAATTTAGCAATGTTTTTAAGCTATAAACAATCTCTCTTTACCAAATCAGCCTAGTTCTGTCCCAGAGAATTGGTTGTAGTTCACTGAGTGGGGCAGAGAGAGTTCTGAGAAAAATACCACCAACATATATAAGGCAACTCTCCTAGAAGAAACTACTTATTATATAAAAATTTGATCTCTTTAATTCTGTCAATGTGGTACATGATGAACACAGAACATCAAATGCAATCTAGTTAATTCCTTTTCATCTTTAATCTAATCCAAAGGGTAAATACAGCTTATTAATTGACTTTGTTTTAAAGCTCTGAAATTCAACAGGGCTTGGTGGCACATGCCTGAAATCGCAGAGACTCAGGAAGGTAAGACAGAAGGATCATAAGTTTGAGGACAGCCTGGGAAACTTAGGGAGATCTTGTCTCAAAACTAAGGGGAAAAAAAAAGATCTAGGGATATAGATCAGTGGTAAAGCACCCCTAAATTCAATCCACAGAAGCAAAATAAATAAACAAAAAATAAAATATGGAATTCAAATGCAGATTGGATATCCTTTATCCCAAGTGGTTGGAGCCAGAAACAGTTTGAATTTTGGATTTTTCCATATTTTGGTATATTTACATATATATAATGAGATATCATGGGGATGGGACCCAAGTATAATCACAAAATTCATCTGTGTTTTATATACCCCTTATAGCACATAATTTTATATAATCTTTTATTGTGCCTACATTTTGCTTGTGGTCTATCAGATGAGGTCAGTTGTGGAATTTTCCACTTGTGGCATCATATTGGTGCTCAAACGTTTCAGATTTTGGAACATTTCAGATTTTGGATTTTTTGATTAGGGATGCTCAATGTGTAATGAGACCACCTAAGCAGTCACATTTCAATGGTTAGGTCCGTAACGTTGTGCGAGAAGATGAAGCAATAGCAAAAGTGAAAGCTCAAGAAACCCAAGCAATAGCTGATGATGCTCAGAGAGACCTCGAAGAAGCATTGCCTGCACTTGACGCTGCCAATAGAGCACTGGATTCCTTAGATAAAGCAGATATAGCTGAAATCAGGGTTTTTACAAAGCCCCCAGATATGGTCATGACTGTAATGGAAGCAATCTCCATTCTCTTGAATGCCAAGTGAGTAATACAAAAGCTTGAATTATTAGATTATCTGGTGGTATTTCTTTACTATTTTTCTCCATTTTCATATTTTTATATATGTATGTTGATTCTTTTCTCTAACCTCTCATTAATTTGATTGGCCATTCAACAAATTGATTCACCAATTTTTCCAACATTTATTTTGTACTATATTATAGAAGTTAAAATGATGGGTTTTTTCACTATAAGATGCAGACAATTTAATGGAGAGATACAAGCTGATCTTTTGGGAGATGATGAACACAGTTTGTGCCTGTAAAGAGAGCTCAGGCACTTATGATACTTGTGAAATAGGGTTGAGGCTGAGTAAAAAGGCAGTGATCACATCATGAGAAATCTTGTATGATACACCAAGCAATCCAAATTTCATCTTAAAGATGTGGTTTTCAAATTTTCTTCAGTAATAAAATCCTTTTTTCAATACAAATTATGTTATAAGAAACCTTTCTATGTAAAACGAGCAAAGCACCAGAAATACCCCTTAACCACCAGGCCTCCCTACAGACCCTCAGGTTGGCACAATGGTAGGTCCCAGGGATCTCTGCAGAGCAGAGATAGAGAGTCCCCATGTGCAGAGGGAACTGGGAACCATTGAACATTTTTTACCTAATCAGATTTTCACAGTATAAAGACCAATATGGCAAAAGTTCTAAAGGGCAAGGTTGACCAAGAGACCTAAGTCCCAGGCATTATTTTTTATTATTTAAAAGAGATTTTAAGGGTTGCAACTAGGCAAAGGAGATGAAGTGTGAATTCCACTCTATTATTTTATAGTTCTTTCTCTACCAGATCTGAGTTTTATGGGGTGATGCATGGAACTACCAACTTCTGGGATTACAATACTGAGATTAAAACTACCGATCTGTTGGGATGATATTGTAATGTTCTCAGAGGAATACATCTCTTTTGTTCATATATTACTTGATTATAATTTTGTTAATTTGTTATCTCTGTTTTTTAGGCCTGATTGGCCCACAGCAAAGCAACTTCTTGGCGAATCTAACTTTCTAAGAAGGCTTTTAGAATATGATAAGGAAAACATAAAGCCTCAAATAATAGCAAAGCTTCAAAAGTATATTAATAATCCTGATTTTCTTCCTGAAAAAGTAGAGAAAGTATCCAAAGCATGTAAATCCATGTGCATGTGGGTAAGAGCGATGGATTTGTACTTTCGAGTAGTCAAGGAAGTGGAACCAAAGAGACAAAAACTCCGTGCTGCCCAGGTATGTTATCCATATTATGATGTTTTGGAGTCTTAAAGGCCATCATCATCAATCATCCAAACTCTCTGTATAGTGCCACTTTGATGCTAGGCAATATAGATAGTGACAACACTTGAAAAACCAGCTTTTATTTCAAACAATAGCTGGCAGAGGTTTTTTTTTATATTTTTTAAATTTTCTCTAAAGTCATCCTTCTTTTAGCATTAAAGAAAAATAAGTCCTTAGTATAATTCATCTGAAAAAAAGAGAAATTATGTTTATGATATTTTTGAGGTTCCTCTATCATCTGATGATCTACATTTCTATTTGCTAAATATCCCCACACCTGATGTGTTATCTGAGATTTTAGAACCAGCTTAATTCACAATCATGTGTGAGGTCCTTAGTCTTCCCAAGAACAAAGAATGATCATTTAGAGGAGCAGATTACCAAAATAATGGTGAATAGAAAGCAGGAATAAGCAAAAATTTTCTATGAAAATCCAGATATTTGAGAATTGAATTGGAGCAAACTATGTTATATACATTTATGAATGCCAAAATTAATGTATTCATAAGTTATATTGTTACATATAACTATAATGAACTAATAGGAACTTTTTTTAAAAGATCAAAATAGTAAATATTTCAATTTGTGGGCTAAATATTTCAATTTTATTGTGGACTACATGATCTCTGTACAAGAACTCAACTCTGTTGTTGCCCAGAGAAACAGCCATTAGCAATACATAAACAATAAGAATGGCTATGTTCCAATATAACTTTATTTATGGACAACAGAATTCCAATTTTATATAATATCACAGGTAAAAAATACTTTGTGTTTATTTCTAATTATTATAAAATGTAATAATCATTCATAGTTCATAGGCTGTACAAAAGCAAGCATCAGGGCTGGGGATGTGGCTCAAGCGGTAGCGCGCTCGCCTGGCATGCGTGCGGCCCGGGTTCGATCCTCAGCACCACATACAAACAAAGATGTTGTGTCTGCCGAAAACTAAAAAATAAATATTAAAAAAAAATTCTCTCTGTCAAAAAAAATATTAAAAAAAAAAAAAAGCAAGCATCAATGGAGAGGTGGCCTGCAGGCCATAAGTTCACTACCCCCTGACACAGAGAACTAGTAAGGAAAAATTAGTTTTCATTATTCTAAGAATATTTATTTTATCATTTAAAATTAATATCCATTGTAGTAATTTATTCATCTCATATGCTTGGCACAGCTGTTTCTCTATTCCTTTTATGACTTATTTTGTTGGACTTTTTGTTTGGTCTAGATTGGTTCTGCTCTTGTATTTTACTCAGTAAATGTTTTAATTTTGTACAATATATCAAAATATTTACAAACATGAAAAAGGGAACATAAAAAAAATCTTTATTATATAAATGGGCAAATTCAGCCTTCTTTGTGGGTCTATTTGTAAATATTTGCTTGATTTTTACTAGGCTGAACTTGATGTTACAATAGCTACCCTAAAAGAAAAGCAAGCATTATTAAGACAAGTGGAGGATCAAATACGAGCCTTACAAGATGAATATGACAAAGGTGTGAATGAAAAAGAAAGTTTGGGTAAGTAACTCATAAAATTTGCTTTGTTATAGATGTCTGATTTTTAAGAGTTTGAAAATTTTCAGGCAATCTGATATTGGCTTTTATTCAACATGTAGAATACATTTAGACTTCTTTCATTAGCTTCCTAGTATAAAATGAGAAAAACTACATATATTGTATGTATTCAACATCTTATATCTGAACATAGCTTCTTGGAGTATATTGCATTAAAACTCAGAGCAACAGATAAATTTTATCTACAAAAAAAATGCTACAAGGCACTGAGAACACACAAATATTATAGGGCAAAGAGAAAGCCATCTTCAGTTAGAGTAGTGTAGCATTAAAAAGAGCTCTTGAAATGGAAAAATTAAACTTTGACTTGGTTCTGAAATGGGAAATAATATTGAATTGGTGTGATACTTCTTAGCAATATATTGCTATAATTAGCTAAATAATGCTAATTATGCTACAAACAAAAACAAGTATATAAACTTTTAATAGTTTACTAAAATATTGAATAATCTAAGGTTCTTAATATTTTCTAGCAAAGAATATGGCCCTGACAAAAGCACGCCTGTTACGTGCTGGAAAGCTGACAGCTGCGTTAGGAGATGAACAGGTTCGATGGGAAGAAAGCATAGAGAAATTTCAGGAGGAGATATCGAACATCATTGGGAACGTGTTTATAGCAGCGGCTTGTGTGGCTTATTATGGGGCTTTCACAGCCCAGTTCAGGCAATCAGTGAGTAAACCTCCTGTCTGTAAAGAGCGGTGAGAAGCAGCTGAAACTGGGTGGGTACAGAGAAGCGTTCATTTTTCTGAGGTCAGATGGAGGCTCTCTACTATGGAGTTCACCAGAGTGGAAATGTACATGTCTCACAGGATGGATCCCTTTTTCCCATTGGTCCACCCTTAGGCTTTCTTAACATGTTTCTTCCTTTCCTTCTCCAGTCTTAGAAAGTTCTTTACCACTTATGCAACATAAGAACCTGGGGGAAGTGAATGAGATAGTAAGTCCCTAAACTTTTTTGTCAGAACTAGCATGTAAAATCAACCAGGATACAATGTCCTGCTCCGGACGACTGGGAAATGGGAGGGAGCAGGATTAATTTGAGGTTTCGTGGGCTTTCATCTTTATGAAAAACTTATTATTTATCAGGGAATAAAATTCCCATCTACATGCACTTTTTAGGAAAAAAATATTGGGAAAGATTTTATAGTTATTTTTATGAAATACTTCCAGTTGCACCCACAATCATTATGACAACCCTGAACTTCTCTACAGCTTCCATATTTTCTCAAGAGAGGCAATACAACCCTGGTTGAAAATTACTGTTAACAACCCAGTCATTTACATGTGAGAAAACTGAGGTCCAAACAGAGGGAGTAAAATACCAAGGGCATAGTTAATTATTTAGTTCTAGCACCAGGTCTCCTGATTTTTAGTCCATTTTGGGGGGAGGAGAGTGTCCCATCCTGTTTCCAAGATATCTATAGAGACTGGTAGGGCCTACCTGTTCCAGCCACTGCATGGTAGACAGCTTTTCATTACTGTAACCAAAGTATCCATGAAAGAACAACTTAGAGGAGAAAAGTTTATTTTGGACTCACAGTTTCAGAGGTTTAGTTCTTGATCAGCCAGCTCCATTGCTCTGTGTCTAAGGTGAGGCAAAACATTATGGCAGAAAGGCATGGTGGAGGAAAGTTACTCAGCTCATGGCAGCCAGGAAGAAGAGAGAGAACATAGGGAGCCAGGGACAGAATACAATCCCCAAGGCTCACCCCCAGGTAACCCTATTTCCTCCACCCATGCCTCATTTGCCTACAAGTACCACTTAGTAATCCATTCAAATTATTAAGCCATCAAATAGATCCACTGATTAGGTTACAGTTCTTGTAATCTAATCATTTCACCTCTAAACATTGCCAAAATAGATACCATATTTCCAGTACATGAGTTACTGGGGGGACACTTCATATCTAAACCATAACATATTAGTTTCCTCTGCCCTTCATATTTTGTGTGTGTCCTAGTTTACTGAGTATTCCTGATTATACATGTAAATTTTCCTCCCTTTTCAGCTTATAGAGTGTTGGATCCAGGACTGCCAGTCTCTGGACATCCCAATTGATCCTTCCTTCAGTCTCATTAACATACTTGGAGATCCCTATGAAATACGGCAATGGAACGCTGATGGGCTGCCACGTGACATGATATCAACAGAAAATGGCATTTTGGTTACTCATGGGAGACGGTGGCCTTTGATGATTGATCCCCAAGATCAGGTATGTAACAAATGCTTGAGATTAAAAAGTAGCCAGTTAGCTCTGTTTAATATTGATCTATCTATTAAAAATTATAAAAGTAGACTTTAACATATTTATAAGATCATGGAAATTTAGACCTGGAGGAGAGTTTGGAGCTCTTTCAGTGTGGGTTCCTCATCTTATGGACATAGAAAGTAAGGGATGTGGGTAAGTGTTCTCTATTCTTGATTTTAACTGGTTAAGTTTAGGGGATTGGCCATTAGTTTTTTGTTTTCTATGGGAATAGAAATTGACAGAAACTCATTCCATGAAGGTCTGCAAGGTCTAAGGAATCAAAATGAATTCAAGGAATGATAGGATTTAGAGCAAGTCTGACCAGAATTTTTATAGTCCCATTATCTGTGTTCCTAAATCCACAGATCAGATTATACTAATCAGGGTTCAGAAAAGGGAGCCATTGTAAAAGCAAGAAAGAAACTTGAATACTAAGATAAGTATGGGCTTTTTTCTGGATGGCTCTTTTCTGAATTTGTTTTAATTTGGGCTTGATAGGTGTTTTTATTGGGGAAAGGAGTTTTTTTTCTTTTTAAAATGTTTTCAATGTTTCTAGATTGAAAAAAAAATTCTAAACTTTATTCTACAACTTTCACTTTCTAGTCATGTATCCTACTCTAAAGCAAATGCTCTGCTCTGTGCGTTCTCATACAGGCAAACCGTTGGATAAGAAACAAGGAAAACAAAAGTGGTTTAAAGATCATTAAGCTTACAGATAGTAATTTCTTACGAATTCTTGAAAATTCCATCCGACTTGGCTTACCTGTCTTACTGGAAGAGGTTTGCTTTTCACATTTCTCATGTTAATTCTAACTTTTAGATTATAGGCCACATCCACATCATGATAAAGACACCAGTCAACTTTCTTTTCAAATTGTCAAACCAGTTGCTTTGTTCCTTAAATGGTACTTTTTCTAGGAGGAAGAATCAGTTGGTTGAATGAATTTTCTGCTTCAGTCATTGTTTTGGAGTTAAGAGGGATAGCCTCTGTTTTCTGACACTGCTCATTCTTAGACTTCATTGTGTACCTTAAAGGTCAGAAAAATTCAAAGTAGCAGTGCCCCCAGGAACCACTGTCTACATACACAAATGATGTAAAGTCATAAGACATGCTAGTATGTGTGAACATTATTTTCTATGTAGGATTCACGTCAGAATTAGATTAAGTTATGAGTGTTAAGAATAACTATTGTTTAAAAGTGGGAATTGTTGAGTCTATATGTTCCATTTCTTCAGATATCACTCGGAGAACAGATGTTTTTCACATTGTTCACTCAATCAATAAACATTTGAGAACAAACGGCAAATAATATAGATGTGGTTTCTGTCCTCGATTACTTAGAATCTAGTTGAGGATAGGTAGAAAACAGATAAAAAGTAGATGAGATAGAAAATAAGAGAGTGGGGGAGGAAGAGAACTTGTAATAAGGGCTTTGAAGGAATAAGCAGAGTGTGGACATAGCCAGTAAGAAGAGGCATTAGGAGCCTGACTTAAATGCATAGCTACAGGGAATGAGACTTAAGGTCTAACCTCTGTGATGAGCTCAACTATGTGAGGAGCTCAGTGAGAAGGGCTTCCCAGGAAAGGGATCAGCAAATAAAAAGCCATAGGCACAAAGAGATGGCTAATGGCTGTGTATTATCCTTAATTTATCATTCCATTTTTATAAGAGGAGAATTAGTAAGCAAACACATGGGCTGTGAGCCATTTAGCTGTATGAAAAAGTATCTCTGATCAGCAGAAAATCAGAAAATTCAGGAAACAGAACTACCTGGGGCAACTTGGCTGCAACCTTTGCATGGTGACTAGCAATAATAATATGTAATCATTCACTAACTAATTCACTATTTCACTAATTAACATGTGCACTCCTTTCCAGACTTGGTTCTCAGTGTTTTAACTTACTAATCCTCCCTGCAAACTTATGAAGTAGTTGGTATTATTATCCCATGTTACCAGTGAGGACACTGAGACATTAAAAAGGTCAAACTGTGCTGCCTTGCCACCTAGAAAATTCATAGCAAGTTACAATACTCCCCACTCAAGCCATAAAGAGCACAAGGGGCCTTGTTGTAGCCAAGCTTTGGCATTTAGCAACACAGAAAACGTTTTGTAATGGATTCCAGATCCTCCTTCAAACTCAGAAGTCACAGAAGAGAGTGAGGTGTCTGACAAACTTTGGCACAGTTACCTTAGTCCAAGCTGAATTCTGGAACCCAGGTTTAGTTTGTGACTCAAGAGGTCTTGAGAGACTTTTCTCACTCATGGCAGTTGACAGAAGTCCTTCTATAATGTTCTGCCCCTAGAAAGGAGAGTATTTTAACTACAAATATAATGAACACTCTAAGGAGTTAGGCCCCTTCAGGAACAGGACACTCTAACTGGACCTTCCCTCTCTCTGGGTCTTGGGGTCATTAGCATTATATATCTAGCTGATTTCTACATTTGTTAGGGCGGTGTTTGCAAACTTGGTCTCCATCCATTCATGGGTATGAAAGAAATTTAGTTTATCTCGATCACCAGTTATTAATAAAATAGAACAGAATATTTATAACAAAATTTTATCATGGATAAGAATAAGTAAGAGTTAATGTGTGTAGTTTCATGTCACAATGTGAAATGATTTGTTACTATGGATTATGGGGAGGAGGCCAACGCCTCACTAAGGGGTCCTTCTTTCTGCTTGTGGAGGTTGTAAACTATTGGAGAAAAATTAAAGTCTAGAATAATTAATGAGTAACAAAAGACACAGTCAGAAAAAAATAGTTTTAAAGGAAGTTTGGAGCACCTGATAGGCCCAGCCCACACAGAAGCTGGAGCTTAACAATTAGAAAATGACCCCTGTGGTTATTTAAGGGGATACATCAAAGGCAGAGATAAGGTTTCAGGTTTTAGGAATAGAGTCTTGCTTCATGATGTCTTGCAATCAACAGGTTGATTGGCATCTTGTTAGGTCATACCCATCTCAGAGAGGTTGTGTGGCTGGCTGGCTGTAGTAGGTCACCCCATTTCTAGTGCTGTGTGGGACCTTTGGCAGAGCTGGGTGAGAGTTCACGTGTATTGGGGCCATCTTATAGCAGGGTGCCACTGTAAGTTCTCAGATAGCAGATTTTCCCACTCAATAGCCTTCCATGCCAATCTGGTCCACACATAGTTCACAGATGGCTCTTGACAATGAATTATAGTCAAATTTTAAAAACCATAGGACCCCACCTGACATAAAAGTGACCCTGTAGGGTCCATGGGAAATTCTTGCATGCCTTAGTTCTAACCAACCATCATAATTGCTTTGAGGGATAAACAATTTTGTGGCTAATAAATGAATCAAAGCTTAATTGAGAGTCTATGGCAGTATGAGGTAGGGGTGCATCATGTAGAATAAGGTTTATTCAAAGTAAACTTGAAACCTATGGAATTTTGACAAGTTGATGCCATCCATTGTAACTGCTTGCTTTTTGCATTGTTTTATTTCCATTTTGAAGCTCAAAGAAACCTTGGATCCATCTCTAGAACCTATTCTTTTGAAACAAACTTTCATCAGTGGTGGACGAGTACTCATTCGCCTTGGAGACTCAGATATTGATTATGACAGAAACTTCAGGTTCTATATGACAACCAAGATGCCAAATCCTCACTATCTGCCTGAGGTATGGACCTCTAGTCTGAAATTATCACCCTAACTGGAATTATTGTGTGCAGTGAGTCTCTAAAGTTTGGTGGGTTTCTATCTTTTGGGAGGAAAACTAATAACCCTCTTTTTTTTCTCCCTCTTCCCTCTCCATTGCCCCCTTTCCATCCATGTCTCTCCTTTGGTTTCACTTCTGAGTTCTGATTCTAACTCCAGTCACCCTTCTCCTCTCCATCTAGTTGGGAATCAAGCCCCTGCCCACTGGGTCCCAGATGCACAGCATTGTGCTTTCTCCAACTCCCTTCTGGTCCACAGCTGCTCCTCATAAACTGTGGTCACCATTCCTTCTAATCATTCTCCTCTCTCCTTCAGCAAAGACTATTTATGTCCCTATTATCCCTTGTTATTTGTGGCTGATAAATGAACCAGAGCTCAATTAAAAGTCCATGGCAGTGGCTGGCAGGGTTGGTGGGGATTCAGTGTTTAAGTGTGAAAGCCCATAGCATACACCCCCAAATAAAGTGGTGGTCTGCTTGAAAACTCTCGTAATAGAGTAGAGATGAGAATTTAATCAACTCTGAGATGGAGATAAAGACTACCTCAAATGTTTTAGATGGCTTTTTTTCTGCTGTAACCAAAAGACCTGGCAAAAATAAATTTAGAAAATAAAATTAGAGAATCGTGAGCCAGATGTCCAGTGTCTGTACTTAGAGATAAAAAGGGGAGGAACAGCTTCTTGTAATCTTCCTGATGCTTGTAGACTCTCAGGGATACTATGTGAGCCCCACTTCCATACATCCCTGAGCCACACAGCAAGCAGGAGAACCCCTATTCTAGAGCTCTAGAACCGAAGGCATTTGCAAAAGAAATGAAGGCAAGTGGGACTCCACATTTCCCCTCCCACGTGTGCTCTGCCTGTCCACCTTACCCCAGGTGCCCTGAGTGCTACCCAGGTATGGGCACATTTTCACATTCTTCGGGTCTTCATAAGGAAAGGCCTTTACATCAGGACCCCCCCCCCCAAATATTCTTGAACATACCATTCCAAATAGTGTCATTTTTTTATCTTGTTTATTGAATTTTCTCATAGACTTGTGTCTTCACTAGATGTGGTCATGTTGAATGAAATTGACACACTTCTAATGTGGAGAAGGATCATTAAAAGGCTACATCAGAGATCTCCTTGTCATCCTTGAGGAGATTAATTATACAACCACTACCAAGGCTCATTTCCCAAGTTCCATTTCAGAGCTTAGAAAAATGACCAGAGTGTTAACTTGCACTCTTTGATTTCTCATTCGTTTAACTTTTGAGAGGGAGTGCTGCACACAAGACCCAACCCATCTCAGGATCCTCAATTTAATCAACTCTGAGATGGAGATAAAGACTACCTCAAATGTTTTAGATGACTTTTTTTCTGCTGTAACTGAAAGACCTGGCAAGAATAAATTTAGAAAAGGAAAAGTTTATTTGGGGGCTCATGGTTTGAGATGTCTCAGTCTGTAGAAAGTCAACTCCATTGCTCTGGGCCCAAAGTGTGGCAGAACTTCATGGCAGAAGAGTGTGGTGGAAGAAAGCAGCTCAGGATATGATACCAGGAAGCAGAGAGAGAGAGCCCCTCTCAACAAGGACAAAATATATATGCCAAAGGCACACACGCCATGACCTACCTCCTCCACTCATACCCTACCTGCCTATAGTTACCACTTAGTTAATCCCTACCAAGAGATTAATGCACTGATTAGTTTAAGACTCCCATAACTCAATCATTTCACCTCTGAACTTTCTTACATTATTTCACACATGAGCTTTTTGGAACACCTCATATTAAACCATAACCATGAAGGATTTATATTTTATGTTAACTGCATGGCTTATTGTATTTATTGGTTTTTGCTATTGATTTGTTCAAGTGATGTAAGAATATTATGATAGCATTAATAACAATTTTCCATAAAAACATTGAGATAAAATATGTAATGCTTGGTTTAACAAATACACTATAAATTAATTACTATAATTAAATTATTTTACCTCATTTAGTCCTCACAACTCCCCTATGAATTGTTACTACTATTATATCAGTTTTTAAATATCAGGAACTAAAAGCTTAACACAGATAATGACTTGTCCAACATCAGACATTCACCCAAGTGTTCAGCTAGAATTAGAACTGAAGCTGTTGATTTTAAAATTTGCTTCTAACCCTTTTCTAACTCATCATGTAGACTTCTGTAACTGTGAGGTTTGCGGAACAAAAATGTTACTCACACCGGTGAGGAAAATCAGAATTTTGAAAGCCATGTTATGCTTGAGTGTGTAGGGGTGTGCCTGTGTGAACAATCAGAGTTGAGACACATTCACCATTATTTATTAATAATGATAAAGCAAGCACTTCTTGTTTTACTAGTCTTGCATTTAAACATTTTTATGTACTCCATACTTCTCTTCCAGGTGTGTATTAAAGTTACCATCATCAATTTCACTGTAACCAAATCAGGTCTGGAGGATCAGTTGTTAAGGTAAAAAAGGAGTGTGGGAATCAGGGATGTCATGAGTTTCCTAATGTTTTTGTTTTAGAAATTTTAACGAAGAAAAAATTTTAACGTAAAAAAATCACACATGACTAAATCAAAAAGATAAAATTATATGGCCAAGTTCTTCATCACAATTGCTTACAGTCACCAATCTTGTCATATCTTCTCAAGATCATTCCTACCCATTGTTTAGGCAAGGCTGGCAGCCCAGCCTGCCTCTTTTTCTCACTAGGATCTCCAATCTTGACAAGTGAATGAATTCAGTTGTTCCATTGTTTCTAAACACTCACTGCTCCAAATCTGTGAAAAAGTTAGCACTCCAAATTTTCTCATTTCCCTAGTCTCTTAATATTTTCCTACTTAATTGTTTCTACATTTGTCCACTTCACAAAAAATAAATATCCCTTCCTCAGTATATTCTGTATGTGATTAAATTCCCATATCCCAAAAATGGGGTTATGAATTATTAATCTTTGGAATTAGCCAAGATATTCAGAAGGCAAAATTTTAAAAATATTTATTAAAATAATAATGTTAATGTTTATTTAAACTAAGTATATCTGTATAAATATGCCATAATATACTTACATGTGTGTATATATATATATATATATATATATATATATATATATATATATATACACACACACACACACACACACACAGATATATACATATATATGGTCATACTGCACTTACTAACAAAAATACAACCTTGAGAGATATGTCATTAGGCAATTTTATTGTGAAAAAATAAAGTATAGTTACACAAATACAGCTACAATACTAGGCAACTTAATCTTATGGGACTCTGTTATATATGAAGTTCATTGTAGACCAAATGTTACAGCACACTGCATGACTGTGTTTAACACACACACACACACACACACATATGAATATGTGAATATGTGCATGTGTTCATTAACTCTAAAGGAAAATAAAATTTGGAACCATTTTCAAAACTATATATAATTTGGCTGGGCATGGTGGTACATGCCTATAATCCCAGAGACTCGGGAGGCTAAGGCAGGAAGATTGCAAGTTCAAAGCCAGCCTTAGCAATTTAGCGAGACCCTAGGCAACTCAGCGAGACCTCATCTCAAAATTTAATTTTTTTTTAAGGTTTGGGGGATGTGGCTTAGTGGTTAAGTGCCCTCTGGGTTCAATTCCCAGTACCAAAAAAAAAAAAAAAAAAACCGGGCTGGGGACATAGCTCAGTGGTAGAGTGCTTGTCTAGCATGCAAGGTTCCTAGTTAGATACCCAACATTGCAAAACCCATATATACACATTCAAGTCAGGATTATTCTGTACTTGCACCTGCTATCACTAATAAGCTTAAGACTTATTTTCCTAGTTTCTTTTAGAAATTATTCTGCCCACTGATATCTTGCTTAACTTCTTGCTAATTAAAGGGTATCTCACCACATTTTATGCACATATTCTAAAGTCATGACTGAACATTTTACATACCAGTTTATTCCTTTGAATAGCTAAGCTTAGCTGTGTGGCTATACTGTCAGACTGCCTGGGACAAGTAGAACTACCCTAATGAGAAAAAGGGAAATTCTTAGATCAGTCATGGGGTACAGAGTCTCTCTGAAATTTCTCCCTGACCAACAGCATTGAAACGGGAAGCTGACAGCCTACAGCCTGTGTGAGGATGTAGCTCAGTTTGCCTAGTGGTCTGACAAGCCATCACTATTCCAGCCATTCCCTGCTTTGCTGAGCTCCCAGGCAGGCAGCACTCATTGCATTCAATTGTTGATTGGATGAAATTTCCTCCAGGATATTAACCATTTTCAAACACTGCCCTTCAGTCCTTCAGGGATTAGACAAGTCCCCTTTCCAGCTTTGAGAAATTCCATTAAACTACCCAAACAGCTCACCTCTGCCTTACTTTCTACTTTCAGAAGCTGTAACTCGCCCTCAGAGACTTTCTTGGCCATCCCTTTTGATTTTTAACTTGCCTGATTTGATTTATGCTTCTCCTAAGCTGTTATCTGAGTTCACCTTTATCTTAAAAAACTCTCCCCCAATTCCTCACTTCTGAAAAAGTTATTTAAACAATCGAATTTGAAGTGATAATTTCTTTTATTTTTCATATAATGATGTTAAAGTGTCTGAATTCAGCATGTACATAACATACAATGGGTTATTCTATGAGGCAATACATCATAGTGTACTAGGGTCAGCAGACTCAGGTGCAAGCTTGACTCTGCTTCTCATAACTGTGTGACCTCAGGAAGTGACCCACTACTGAGGGGGAACCACAGTGTCTAACTCCAGGAGCCTTCAAGTGGTTAAAAGAGATAATTCACATAAAACTCATAGTAGGGTGTCTGGCATGCATGATGCTTAATGAAGATGAGTTCCTACAAACCACAGACTGGGAGCAAATTATAAAAGGAAAAGTGAAAAGAGATGAAAGTTCACATGTTTATATTAGACAAGGGTAAAGCCTCTTATTTAGATACAATCAAGAACTGTTGATGAAGAGCTATTTGGCAAGACACCTCATGTTCAGGAACAGAAAGATTAAATAACATAAAGTTACACTCAGGACATACAGAATTCTTAAAGAAGGCTTTTAAAGAAAACATATGTGGTGTCAGACTATAAATATCATTTTGAGGCATTTTTTATTTAACAGTTTATCTTTAAGTTTATTCTCTGTCTGTGCACATATAAATATACACCTAGAGAAAATGCTTTTGGAAGGATGTATGTCAAATAATGGTTACCTCTAAGGAAGAAATTAGGTTTGAAGATGGAGCTGATGAATAGGAACTTTTACTTTATTCATTTATTTTCTTTTTTATAAAAATGAATTCATGTATTGCTTATGCAAATAGTAATAAACATTTTAATGATTTTTAAAACTACTTTTTTCATAGAGGCATTGAGATTTCATAATTTCTTGTGTCATTATAAAAAAGAACATTCCAAGAATTATTTTCACTTTGGCACAGCCAAGCATTAAAGAGAGAGATTGAATGATGAGAGAGCAGCCAACAGGCTCTCTACAGGATGAGTAGAAGTGACAGTAACTTTGATTGAGTGCATGTCTCTGAAATGTAGGATATAGAATAAGAACTGACATAGTTCTGGTGAAAAGCCACTGTATAAATCCAATGAAAGAGGGGCATTGTGTATTCAAATTCAGCTAATAGCATGAATATTTAGCTAGACAGCACTGAGAATAAGGATAATTCCAGACAGAAAACAGACTCAACTATAGTTCACTGACAAAAGCACAATTCAGTTATTCCAACCTTGGTTCTAGTGATGTCGTACGACTTGAAAGACCCGAATTGGAACATCAGAGAGTCCAGCTTATTGTAAGGATCAACAGTGATAAAAACCAGTTAAAGTCTATTGAAGACAAGATCTTAAGAATGCTCTTTACATCTGAAGGAAATATTCTCGACAATGAAGAACTTATTGATGCACTCCAGGACTCAAAGGCAAGTGAATATATTCAGTGTGTATAGAAAATGTGTCATTTTCAAAAGTTATAACTACAGCCTTTGAGGGTCCTGCAAGAGCTTATAAAGCAAGAATGAGACCACCTATAACCTGCTAGGGGCATGCATAAGAGTGTGCCTGGCTATCAGGCCTCCTCACAAACCAGGGAACAATAGAGAATTTGTAGACAACTGATAATTTCTTCTCTTCTCTGTGATTTTTAGTAAAGTATATAATATTTAAAAAGTAGGAAAAGATAGACATCAAAAGGAACAAATATTTATAAATTTGTATTAGTGTCACCTTTTCCAAGAAGCCTCCCTAGTACTCATAGCTAGAATTAACCTCCTGCTCCTTGGAACTTCTGTAGTGCCTTATCCAAACCTGTATTATAGTACTTTTTGCTGTTTACCTGTGTCATGGTTATCTAGTTCCTTGTCCTGTCTCTTCTGTTAGATGACTGATTTCATGCAGTGGGAATCTGTGACTCATCTTGATAGTCATTTTCCAAGGGTTAAACATGATGGTTGCACACAAATGATAGTATGATAAAGTTTTACACTAAACATACAATCCTGTAGTTAATTAGTTCTCAGATTTAAACCATCATTTAAGAAATGTATAGGAGCACAGCCTATAAAATGATCTTATCAATTCATGAAAAACAAAATATTTTAGGGAAAAAAATCTCCCTTTGACTTTACTAGATAAGGAACACATAGGTATGTTTTTGCCTCTTGTTGATGTCTAATATGATTTGTTGCTTTATATCCTACAGTCTCTTTTTTTTTAAAGAGAGAGTGTGAGAGAGAGAGAGAGAGAGAGAGAGAGAGAGAGTTTTTTAATATTTATTTTTTAGTTTTCAGTGGACACAACATCTTTGTTTGTATGTGGTGCTGAGAATCGAACCCGGGCCGCACGCATGCCAGGCGAGCGCGCTACCGCTTGAGCCACATCCCCAGCCCTCCTACAGTTTCTTGAGACCTTGGTATTGAAAGAACGATAAACAAATTATTCTGGGTCTGTCATTTCCCTTCTCTTTTTATTTGTTTACTGGTCTCTATTCTCCTTTCATTCATTCTTCCTTGGGTTTTTAATTTCTGGAAAACTATTAACCCATTTATTTTTACATTTTACCAATTTTACATGCAAACTGTTTAAAGAATGAAGGCTTTCTATAAGGCTTATTATGATAAACAGTATTCATTCCTTGTCCCCACTCCCCCCACCCACCCGTGGCTCCCTTCAGAGAGGTAAGTACTTTCATTTTACACATTAACCTTGCCTATGCTTCTAACACACACACACACACACACACACCACTACCACCACCACTATCACCAACTACAATAACCTTTCTATAGCCCAGCCTCCTACTATAGTTATTCCCTGATCATAACCTAGAGTCGATATTTCTATTGCCTCAGGGTGGAGATCTGGCTGTAAGTGTTTGGGAGGCTGAACGAGGAGGTATGCATATATTTACCTAATTATTGTTTTCAGAATGGTACCCACCTCTCAACTGTGCCTGATTTCCTCCCATAAAAGGGAGGGGAGACATTTTATACCTTCTCCAGAGGGGGAATTTTTGTTTTTTTTCTGGTAGGGAAAAGACAACACTGGCTGGATGTATGAGAGACACAACCTGGGAGCTTTTCAACCAATTTATATTTTAGGCCCTTCCCACTTCCAGCAGTGCCTCTTATTAAATCCTGTGTCTTTAAGGAGAATTGTGTTTTATAAGTTGGTAAATTTCTGGCTTTCCCCTTCCTTCAGGTTAAGAATCCATTTTTCCTGGGTCTTCAAAGTCACAACACTCTTCAGTATGGTCTACAGATCCCAACATTTTATGGATATTTCCTCTCCTGTTCGCCCATATTTGTGGGTTTGCACTGCTTTTTAAATACCTTTAGTATGATTTTATCATTGTTTCAGTAGGGAATGAAGCAGTTGCATGTGTTCTTACTGCCATTTTTTCCTATCAATACCAGGTTCTTTTATTTATTTTCAAGGAAATGCTTTGGAGACATCCTTTTTGTAGAGATCAGACCAAGTGATCATTGCCTATATTTCCTGCTACTTTCTACCTATAGTTTGTACTTCTTCCAACTCCCACAATCCTTATTTTAAAATATGTCTTATATTTTGTAACCATTGCTGAAGCCTCATATCTCTAGGGCATAATTTCTGTAAGTGGTTGCCAACCCCCCAACCAAAGTATATAATGTTCTAACATTCTCAGACCAAAAAAAAAAAGAAAGAGAGAAAGAAAATGATCCACTACTCTTTCTCTTCAACAATGGGTTCTGAATTATCAGGGCTTTGTGCTCTTCAGAGAATAAAGAACTGTTTGCTAGTGGGTCCTCATGATTGGATTGCTCCCATACCAACTTTCTTTTTCTACTCATTTGTGCAAGTTTTAGTTGAGTACATTATTAAGATTGGGGGACTGGTGCTGTAGCTCAGTGGTAAAGCACTTGCCTCCCATGTGTGAGGCACAGGGTTCAATCCTCAACAACACACAAAAATAAATAAAGATACTCTGTGTTCATCTACAACTAAAAAAATATTTTTAAAAATAAGTTTTTTATTTTAATAAGGAATTCCCCATTTGACTCCACCCTTTATTTTCCCCCAACTTCCTGAGGGGCAGTTACAAGGAGACTTTGAAACTTCTGATGCCCAGACAGCTTCTGCACTGAATCCCTCCCCTTCTTTTCCTGTGGGCTGGAGTGAATAAGTCTAGACTTAGAGTCTTCCTTATGGTAGGAAGCCTCTAGCCATAGGTGGTTATTGAGCACTTAGAATGTGACAAGTCTGAGTTAAGATTTGTTATTATAATATACACACCAGATTTCAAAGATTTACATAAAAATGTAAAACAGCTCAATACTTTTTAATATTGACTGTTATATAATATTTTAGTTATATTGAGTTAAACAAAATGTATTATTAAAATTCATTCCACTTGTTTCTCTTTATTTTTAATGAGTTTAGAAAATTCTGGATTATATGTGGCTCACATTATATTTCTATTGGAAAGCACTGACACAAGTCTCTTGATTCCCAGTTAGCTCTCCCTTCCACTGAGCAAATGCTGAGCAGCCAGTTCCCATACAGATTTTTCATGGTCCTGCTGGAAGCCCTTTGACTCTCTAGAGATAGAGAAATAATAGGGGAAGGAAGAGGAAACAGGAACAGATGGTAACAGAAAGAATCTGAGAGACACAGAAGGCAATCTTGGAAAGTCCATTGGCTAAAAGACTCCCCAGAGCCACAAACTCCAAATACAGAAAACCTAAAGAATATCCAAAGACTTTAAAATGTCTCCAGCTCACTTAGGTTTATAGCACTTCACACCTGGGAGTGCTGGGTAAAGAACATTATCATCCTATTTATCCAGGGTGGAATTTAGGACCACTTTTATCTAGCCTCTCTTCACCCACTCTGCTGGGCATTGTTCAGGGTGTCCCTTCTTTCTTCAGACATTATTTCACCATGTATACCATGCACTGTTCACATGGAAGTTAGGGAGCAATTAGGCATGCTGCATTAGTGTTTCCACTAAGTAACTCAAATATGTGACTCAGAGAAGTCCTGCTCCAATCTTTTCAGAGCTAATTAAATTGCCTATTTCTCTTCACCTTTTCCAAACTCTGGAGGGAACAAGGGTCAGCTCAGTCAGAGGAGAATCATTGAGTTCTGACCCACAATCATTGCATCTGGAGTCTCCCTTATTATAATCACAAACTCATTCCATTCTTCTTTCTTAGTCCTGACTGGATATATAAAAATTCCTACTGTTTTTCTGAATTACACCCTTAAGAACTTATATGTTTATTCAGATCACTTCCGGTGCCATTAAAACCAGGCTGAAAGAAGCAGAGTCCACTGAGCTGATGATCAATGCTGCTCGTGAGAAGTATCGTCCAGTAGCCACTCAAGGCTCTGTTATGTACTTTGTTATTGCAAGTCTCTCAGAAATAGATCCTATGTATCAGTATTCATTAAAATATTTTAAGCAGGTAAGTAAATTGTTGTTGTTAGTGAAATTCACCTTTTTTATTTCCTTTTATACCTTGTTGTTTCTTGCCTCAGACAAGCCATGAGTCTAGTTCTCAGGTAAAGTCCTCCAAGAATTTGGATCCACACAAATGGTTCAAGTGTGGCCCCATCCACTGTGTTTCCTAAAGGATTGGAGGGCTCCATACAGAACACTATAGAAGAAGGGAAGAAATCTGCTTTGCAAGTTTCCTTTTCTCTTGATTTCCTCAGCTAAGCAGTGTGCCTTTTTGCCTTCTTGCCCCCCTTTCTTTTAAGAGTCACAGCTCTGCACTACTAGTTCTTTTTTTTAATTTGTTCTAATTAATTATACATGACAGTAGAATGCATTTTTATTCATTGTACACAGATGGAGCACAATATTTTATTTCTCTGGTTGTACATGATATAGAGTCACACTGTTCATGCAATCATACCTGTGCCTAGAGTAATGATGTCTGTCTCGTTTTACTATCTTTCCTACCTCCATGCCCTTTCCACTCCCCACACTCTCCTTTCCCCTATCCAAAGTTCCTTCATTGTTCCCATTATGGATCAGCATCCACTTATCAGAGAAAACATTTGGCCTTTGGTTTTTTAGGATTAGCTTACTTTGCCTAGCATGATGTTTTCCAACTCCATCCATTTACCTTGCCTGTTTCTTGCCATAATTTTATTCACTAACAGAGTGTAAAGACACTTTCTCTGTAGTGGTCTATTTTCCTTCCTGCTATTAGTGTTTTCTTTGGTGCACATTAGATCTTTAACAACACCAGCTTAATCAAATTGGTTTGTGTCTCTTTTTTCATTTTCTTTTTAGAATGTTTTCTACAACAGGCTGCCAGCCCCTTCTTCTCCACTGGCTTTGATTTTGAGGGATCTCTTTCCTTCTTTGCTTTCCTTTATCTCATATTCATAACTGAATTTCATCTGTTTTCTTATGAAGAAGGATATTTTTCTCTGGGTATCAACACTCCATTATCTACCAAATTAGATGTTACAAAGCTTCAGCAAGCTTCGTCAGTTTTGCTGAAGACTTCCATGGGACACAGAAAGTTTGCAGTGTTTATAACACAGCAAAATTTATCAAGCATCCCCAGCAAGCTCCCATTTGCCTCCAGTTACTACTAGGTTCCAGTGGCCCCTTCCTCTCAGCCCACCCACACATGCCTCACTGGCTCAGTCTTTGACCTTCCAATTAAAAGCAAATAAACTGGCGGGGTACAGCAGTACACGCCTGTCATCCCAGCAGCTTGGGAGGCTGAGGCAGGAGGATCATGAGTTCAAAGCCAGCCTCAACAAAAGCAAGGCACTAAGGAACTCAGTGAGATCCTGTCTGTAAATAAAATAGAAAATTGGGCTGGGAATGTAGCTCAGTGGTCAAGTGCCCCTGAGTTTGATCCCTGGTACCCAAAAATAAACAAACAAACAAACTTTATTATGTATATTTAAGATGTACAATGTGATGTTATGAAATACATATAGATAAAAAGGTTACTACATTGAAGCAGATTAGCCTATCTGTCATCTCACATAGTTACCCATATTTTTGTTTTTATGGAAAAAGCAGTTGAAATCTATTCATTTAATATTATCCTAAATACAACACATGTTGTATATTAGATCTCTAGGCTTGTCATGCTGTATGTCTTTTATTTTGTGGATACAGCCTACATCTCCCCATTTCCTTCCCTACACACTGCCTGCTCTCACCACCCTTTCCTATGCAGAAAAATTTAATTAACTCTCATTTTTCTAATCCTTTGTGTTTATACCCATAACACAATGCAAAAACTGAAGTTCTTGTCTTATTTATCATCACTCAGAGTAGAAAAGAGTAGAAAACTGTAAATATACCCTCTTCCTCTTTAGCATATCAGCTGTACTGATTTCTTCCAAAATGAAATCATGGCATTTGCAGGTAAATGTATGGAACTAGAGAACATCATGCTAAGTAAAATAAGCCAATCCCAAAAAACCAAAGGGCAAGTGTTTTCTCTGATAAGTGGATGTTGATTCCATGGGGTGGGGGTTGGAGGATATGGATAGGGAAGAATGAAGGCACTCTGGATTGTGCAGAGGGAAGTGAGGGGAGGAGTGGGGCTGTGGTGTTGGCAAGGACAGTAGAATGAGATAGACATTATTATCCTATATATATATGACTACTGGTGTGATTCTGTACCATGTACAGCCAGAGGAATGAGAAGTTGTGCTCCATTTGTGTACAATATGTCAAAATGCATTCTACTGTCATGTATAACTCATTAGAACAAATTTTTTAAAAATAGCAGGGAGACTGGTAGAATAAAATAAGGGGATCAGGGGGAGAGATGGGAGGTCCTGGGGAATGAAATCAATCAAATATTATAGTATTTTACTGTGTGCACATATGAATATATTATATAACAAATCCCACTGTTGTGTGTAATTATAATGTGTCAATAAAAAGGGGAAAATGCCTCCCTTGCAAGCTTAAATGCCACTTTCCTGCTGCTGGAGCTGCACACATCTGGAGGTTAACCAGGCTGGACATCTGAAATGCCTCACTCACATGACTGGGCTGTTGGCCCCAGTGCCTACAGTGGCCTCTCCATGTGGTTTGGCCTTCTCACTACAGGGCAACTGGGTTCCAAGAAAACATCTCCTCAAAGCACAGGTGCAAAGAAACCAAGGTGGAAGATCCAAGGCTTCCTCTGAACTAGCCCTGGATGTCATGCAACAGCACTGCTGCCACTCTGTTGGTCAAGCAAGGTCACTAAGGATACCCCAGATTGGAGAGGAGGGAATTTAGACTCCATCTCTCACTGGAAGGAGTAGCAAACATTTCAATGGTCTTTCATCCAGCACATTTGATATGCTGCATATGATGCTTACTTACCTCACATTGCTTTGCATGACAGCATTTCCCTCTGGCTGCAGTCTGACCTACCAGGAGTAAAACCTCACCCATCCCTATATGGTCTAAGGCCACCTTTGATCCTCTTGTGCCTAATCCCACAATGCCACCATCTCTACTGTCTTCCCAATGTCCTGATAATGTAGGGCACCTTTACATTTCAAGACAAATTCTAGCACATTGTTTCCACATCCTAAAAGTTATCTTGGGAAAGTGCTGAAAAGAGTGCACAACCTTGCCTTGCCCTTATGGTTTTCATTCTAAAATAAAGAGTTTGTCAAATCTGAGTTGATGATGTGAAAAGACTAGTCCTGCCAGGTAACCTCCATTTCCAAAACTTCCTGTCTCACATCAAGATGATCCATTTTAAACATTGTCAAGAGATTGGCATTGGTCCATTTGTGAAAAATGGGAAAGGAAGGGGAGTGCAGAAAATAAATATCACATTTCAATTTTGGATGAAGCCTAGGTTTTTCAATATTCACCTCCCATGATGCTGTTTGCTCACTCAATCTAGGGTGGGGAGGGATAGGAGGGACCAGGATTTTCTTTCTTCACAGAAAATGAATTAAATCAGACATATTTTTCCCTCTTCCACACAGTTGTTCAATACAACAATAGAAACTTCTGTGAAGACAGATGATCTACAGCATCGCCTGCAAATACTACTGGAACAAACTCTCCTAACTGCTTATGTCAATGTTTCAAGAGGTCTTTTTGAACAACATAAGCTCATCTATAGCTTTATGCTCTGTGTTGAGATCATGCGTCAGCAAGAATTGCTAACTGAAGCTGAATGGAATTTCTTTCTCCGAGGTTCTGCAGGACTGGAAAAGGTACCTATTACACATTTGGATGGGGCATGTTATTATAGATAGAGCCCATAAGCACATACCAGTGCTCCATGAAGACCATGGTAGCTAAAGATTATACACTTGACTGTGTGTGGCCCAGTGTAGAGGAAGCTGTAGGTCAGGAGGCCCATTATTATTACCTCCAGCTAGCTGCATAATTTTGGTAACACTTTACCTCATTATGCAACAGTGCCCTCATCTGCAGAAAAGGAATATCAGGAGTAACCAGTGAGCTGGTAGAAGTGAACCTGTTTTTAAAAGTTAACTATCTTGTAAAATAGGAAGAGCTAAAAATCCAGCAAAAGATAAGGCTTCACAGATTGGTCAATACTCTTTGTGAAATCATGACCTCTCTTGCCTAGAGATCTCTCTCACTAGAAACTATGGGCAGTATATAATAATTTGATTGCTATCTCCTATGATACTGTAATACAAGTTCTAAAGTTCTCTTCTTCATGATCATTCTTTTGTCTAATTTTCTCTAGCTGCTTAAACTGACCTAACTTGTCTATGTACTATAAGCCTTGCACCTCACAGAAATGAGTTCCCACCCCTTGCCTTGAGATTCCCTCTTAGCTCTACTCTAAACTCTTGATTTGGCCTTTTTTTCTCAAGTTCTGTCCTTGGATCCTGCACACCTGACATATGAACCTGTTTGCTAGGATTCAATCCTCAGTATATCACTGAGAGGTTGGACTTGATGTTTTTATTTGACTCTCAGCATCCCATGCTCCCGAGACAAGCCCATCTAAGACCTTCCTCCCCAACTCCTGCCCATCTTGCAAACAAACATATTCTGTTAATTCTCTTTGGATGTATCTTATCTCTATACAGTTCATATGAACAGAGGACTTTTTTGTATATCATAGATATACATATGTATATCATCTCATTTATTCTTCTCAGTATTATTCTTTTTAATATTTTTGGGGGGCACTTAGCCACTGAGCTATATCCATAGCCCTTTTATTTATTTTTTTATTTTGAGGCATGATCTCACTAAGTTGCTTAGGTTCTCACTAATTTGCTGAGGCTTGTGATCACACTAATTGGTTGAACTTGTGATCCTCCTGCCTCAGCCTCCTGAGCCACTGGGACTAGAGACATGTACCACCAAGCCTGGCTCAGTATTATTCTTGAGTAGGTTCCTGATTTTATCTCTATTACAGGTAAGGTAATAAGGAAGGCCCATAAAGGTTAAATTACTTTATCATAGCAGCCTTGTTTACAGTTTTCTCATGTAGAGGTTTGAAGGATTTTCCAGAATCACACTAATGCATGGCAGGGTCTGATTAGTCTAAGCTTCTAAAGTCCTTGCCCATTTCAGTATCAGCTACTGCTTTTCATGAGCAGTATATTTTGAAAAGGAGTTTAAAATATGTTTTAAATATGAACAAACTAGAAATTTAAAATCACCCATAAATCATCTTTCCTATAGCCTGTATGTACTTCACATATTTGTCACATTTTGGTAATTCCAAAAGATCTAGCTAAGATAATTGAGGAAGGTAGCTACATTAAACAACAGATTTTCAATACGGATGAAACAGCATTCTGTTGGAAGAAGATGCCATCTAAAGCTTTCATAGCTAGAGAGAACTCAATGCCTATCTTCAAAGATTCAAAGGCAGGGCTGACTCTTGTTAGGGGCTAATGCTGGTAATGCTCAAAAATGCTAAGGCAATTAAGAATTATACTCTATCTACTCCACCTGTGCTTTAAAAATGGAACAACAAAATACAGATTTACAACAAAATATGATTTACTGCATATTTTAAGTCTGCTGCAAAACTTACTGCTGAGGGGAAAAAAAGTATTGCTTTCAAAATAATATTGTTCACTAATAATGCACATACTCACCCAACATTTTTGACAGAGATTACAGTATTGATGTTTTCATGGCTGCTAACAACCACAGATCAAGAAGTAATTTTGACTTTCAAGTCTTATTACTTAAGAAATAAATTTTATAAGACTACAGCTACCAGATCTATCTACCTTTAATAGATCTGGGCAAAGTAAATTGAAAAGTATTCAACATTCCAGAACCCATTAAGAACATTTGTGAAATGTGAGAGGAAATCAAAGTAGCAACCTTAACAGAAGTTTGGAAGACATTGTCTTCATCTCACATGGATGGCTGACTTCAATGGTGGAGGAAACTGTAGATGTGGTAGATATAACAAGAGAACTAGAATTTGAAGTGGAACTTAAAGATTTGGCTGAATTGCTGCCATCTCATGATAAAACTTTAACAGATGAGGAATTGATTCTTGTGGATAAGCAAAGAGAGAGATTTCTTGAGATAGAATCTACTTCTGGTAATCATGTTTTTGACATTTCAAAATAACAACAAGGGATTTAGAAATATAACTTAGTTTATAGAGAAGCAGTAGAGGAGGGACTCTAATTTTGAAAGAAGTTCTACTGTGTATAAAATGCTGTCAAATATCATCATATAATATAGAGAACTCCTTTGCAGAAAACTTCTTTGTTTTCTTATTTAAAGAAATGAAGTTAGGCACAGTGGCACAAGCCTGTAATCTCAGCTACTTGGGAGACTGAAGCATAAGAATCACAAATTTGAGGCCAGCCTCAGAAATTTAATGAAATCTTATCTCAAAATAAATAATTAAGCAAACTTTCCTATGTACACATATGAATATACCATAGTGAATTTCACCTTTATGTAAATCCATGATGTGCTAATTAAAAAAACTGTAAATAGAAGAAAGATCAATAGAGTAGAAGAAAAGGAACAGGGAGGGAGGAGGAGAGGAATAGATGACATATCAGGGACTGAACTGGAACAAATTATATTGCATACTTTTTGTAATCATGTCAAAAGTAACCCCAATATTATGTATATCTATAATAAACCATAAAAAGATTGGGGATGTAGCTCAGTGGTAGAGAAGAAGGGAAGGGGAGGGAGGGAGGGAGGGAGGAATTGACACAGCCACTCCAGCCTTCAGCAACCACTACCTTGATCAGTCGCAGCCATCAACTACAAGGCAAGATCCTCCACCAGCAAAGAAACTATAACTTGCTGAAGGCTTAGGTGATTGACTGCATTTTTAGCAACAAAGTATTTTTAATACTTCATGGTATGTACATTATTTTTTAGACATGATGCTATTATACACCATAGACTATAGCATAGCATAAACATAACTTATATGCATCAGGAAATCAAAAAATTCATGTAACCCAATTTATCCCAATATTTATTTTATTGCAGTGATCTGTAATTGAGCCTGAAATATCTCCAGAGTATCCAAAGTACTCCTGTATAGTTTCTTTTTTAAGAGAATTAAGTCTTCCAAAACTGACTGTGGTAATAATGGTAGCAACATATCTGTTAATATACTAAAATCATTGGATTATATATTTTAAATGAGTGAATCATATGACATGCAATTTTTATCCAGTAAATCTGTTTTTATATATTCAGGAAATTCTCGAAGAACTAGTTTAAGTCTGTAATCACAGCTGTTTCTCTCTTTTTTTAACTATTTACCCACATGTACGTGCTTCATAGAATGTTGCCAGATTACATAATAATCTTCCTAGAGATGTCTAGGACTGAAATAATTAGATATGAACTCAGTAATGTGATATTGTTACTTGTCAAGAACCATCCATACTATGTATGTACCAGATCAGCATGGAAATCCATTGAGTGGGGAAATCTGGTGTCTGGGAACTTACAGTGGCAACTCTGCTGTAAGATGGCCCAAATACATGTGAACTCCCACCCAGCTCTACCAAAGATCCCACACAGCACTGAAGATGGGGTGACCTGCTACAAATATCAAGCCACACAGCCTCTCAGAGATGGGTGTGACCTGCCAAGATGCCAACTAACCTGCTGACTGCAAGATAGCATGAAGCAAGTCTCCACCCCTGAAACCTTATCCCTGTCTTTGATGTACCCCTTTAAATAAATCCCAGTAGCCAATGTACTTATTTATTTATTTATTCTAATTTGTTACATATGATAGAATGCATTACAATTCATATTACAAATATAAAACACAATTTTTCATATCTCTGGTTGTACAGAAAGTATAGTCACACCATTCATGTCTTTATACATGTACTTAGGGTAATGATGTGTGTCTCATTCCACCATCTTTTCTACCCCTATGCCCCCTCTCTTCACCTCCCACCCCTTTGTCTTATCTAGACTATACAGATTTAATGCAATTCCAATCAAAATCCCAATGATATTCCTCATAGAAATAGAAAAATCTATCATGAAATTCATCTGGAAAAATAAGAGACCCAAAATAGCTAAAGCAATCCTTAGCAAGAAGAGCAAAGCAGGTGACATCACTATATCAGACCTTAAACTATACTACATAGCAATGGTAACAAAAACAGTATGGTATTGGCACCAAAATAGACCTGTAGACCAATGGTACAGAATAGAGGACACAGAGAAAACTCACGTAATTACAATTATCTTATATTAGACAAAGGTGCCATGTATGTTTTTGATACATGGGAAAAAAGATAGCCTCTTCAACAAATGGTACTGGGAAAACTGGAAATCCATATGTAACAAAATGAAATTAAATCCCTATCTCTCACCATGCACAAAACTCAACTCAAAGTGGATCAAGGACCCTGGAATTAAACCAGAAACACTGCATCTAATAGAAGAAAAAGTATGCCCAAATCTTCATCATGTTGGATTAGGCCCCGATTTCCTTAATAAGACTACTTTAGCACAAGAATTAAAATCAAGAATCAATAAATGGGATGGACTCAAACTAAAAAGCTTCTTCTCAGCAAAAGAAACAATCAGTGAGGTGAATAAAGAGCCTACATTTGAGGAGCAAATTTTTAACACACACAAATAGAGCACTAATCTCTAAAAACCCAAATAACACAAGAGCCATTATTTTTATTTTTTTTTTAAAAATTTAATTGATTTTTAAAAAATAAATGGCAGCAGAATGCATTACGATTTTTATTACACATATACAGCACAATTTTCATATCTCTGATTGTATATAAAGTATGTTGACCCCAATTCGTGTCTTCATATCTGTACTTTGGATGATGATGTCCACCACATTCCACCATCCTTGCTAACCCCCTGACCCCTCCTTTTCCCTCCCACCCCTCTGCCCTATCTAGAATTCATCTATTCCTCCCATGATCCCCCTCCCTACCCCACTATGAATCCACCTCCTTATATCAGAGAAAACATTCGGCATTTGTTTTGTTTGGGATTGGCTAACTTCACTTAGCATTATCTTCTCCAAAACCATCCATTTACCTTCAAATGCCATGATTTTATTCTCTTTATTGCTGGGTAATATTCCATTGGGTATATATGCCACATATTTTTTTATCCATTCATCTATTGGAGGGCATCTAGGTTGGCTCCACAGTTTAGCTATTGTGAATTGTGCTTCTATAAACATTGATGTGGCTGTGTCCCTGTAGTATGCTGTTTTTAAGTTCTTTAGGTATAGACTGAGGAGAGGGAAAGCTGGGTCAAATGGTGGTTCTATTCCCAGATTTCCAAGGAATCTCCATACTGCTTTCCATATTGGCTGCACAGGAGCCATTTTCTAATTGTTCAGCTCCAGCTTCTGTGTTGGCTGGGTCTATCAGGTGCTACAAGCTTCCTTTAAAAATATTTTTTATGTCTCTGTGTCTTTTGTTCTTCACTAATTATTTCTGACTCATCTTCTCCTGTGGCTTATACCCTCCATGGGCAGGAAGAAGGACCCCTGAGCGAGGTGCTGGCCGCCTCCCCATAGTTATTTGTTTTGGTACAATATTGCTCACTACTCCACTTTCCTCACCTTCTAGGTAAGATTATTCCGAATCTGCTTTGGACTCTAGTTCTATAGAAAAAAATCATTAACCACAAGAATATTTGTGAAGTTGAGGAAGACTGGTGTAAGATGTTGGAGAAGAGCCCAGAAATAGGCTTAACAGATTTAATTTTAACCCTTCACCAGATCAACTTTGTACTCTGCAAATGTCAACCTGAAAAGTTTTTGTCAACTGCACTTCTATACAGAGGTCTACTATATCTTATTACTTGTCCCAGAGAACATACTATTGTAGCTTGAATTTTCACTTAAACAAGGTAAAAGAGCATTTTATTATTGTCTTTGTGAATTATTATTATTATTTTTTTCCTGTCCTCTGGTAGGATCGCCCTCCTAAGCCTGAAGTTCCCTGGTTATCTACTGCCATGTGGTTTGCATGCTGTGACTTAGAAGAGTCATTTCCAGTTTTTCAAGGAATTACACAATATATATTTTTGCGACCTATTTTCATATGCTTAGGTAATATGACAAAAAAGTCTGCTGTAGGGCATTTGTAAACAGACTCTTTAATCTTAGCTTTAATATCTCCTTTAACCCTCTTCTGAAATGTGAATGTTTTCTACTAGGAAATTATTCACCTTTAAGAAACTGAATTAACTGTTTTCACAATTTCTTGAGTTGAATGGCCCATCAATTTTCAATATTTTATGTTTACTATTATACCCCTTTTAAGAATATAGATTTACCTGTAAATATTGCTTTGGCTGTATCCCATAGATTTTTTAAAAATTTTTATTTAAGGATAACATACATACAGAAAGAATATAAAAACCAAAATTATATAACTATCACGAACCATATACACTCATGAGCCATGACCCAAATCAAAAAATAGAACGGTACCAACATCCCCAAATCCCCTCATACTGCCTTTTCCCCAGAGAAAACAACTGCTCTGAATTAAAACCTTCTATATTGTTTTCCCAAAAGTCTCAATATGTAGCTTTTCAATTCTAAAAGTATACTTTTTATTTCAAAACCACTTAGTATTGGGGGATCATATTTTTATTGTTTATAATCCAGTTATATTATGGAAATTATATTCATGGTTTTCATGAAATTGATTCTTTGTAATTACTTAGACTTTTTTGCTGGTACATGTTCAGATGGTACATTTTCATTTCTATAACTATTCCATGTGCATCATTTCTTGGATACAAGTTTCTATATATAACATTTAGCTCAAACTTATTAATTATGATGTCTTTTTCTGATTTTTTCATGCTTGATCTGTCAAGCATATGACAGAGAGGGATATTTCTGTTATCTTGTGGAGATTTTTGGAGAGTGGAGGCAGGGTTTTTACTTCTTTCTTGACTTTAAGTGGATCATCCATACTCTTATTTATTTAGGCCCCCCTTACTAATTTGAAATTTTATTTGTAATTTTATGATAATTACTCATGCTTCTAATATGATCTTTTAAAATTACAAAATATACATTTATTTAATTTTAAATTCAAAACATTCAAATTAAAGCTTTTAAAATTGTGTTTCCAGGATCTTTTAAGACTTATATTAACTCAAGCCAGTTGGAAGACTATTTTGAATTTCAAAAGGAAGACCAATCCATGAGAGAAAAGGAGGCCATACTCCTGGAATATTGGATCTCAGAATTGAGTTCTTTCCACAAACTAATTCTTATTAAATGTTGCAAAGAAGAAAAGGTAGGGTTTTTTTTTTATTAATTAAAGAACTGTTATAATTGTTTCTACTAAAGCTCACCAGTCAGTTATGATCCATAAGTTTGTTTGAGACTAACAATGGCCAGGCCTCTAAAAAATAGAGAACATGTTATTTTATACAGAACATGTTATTTTATACAGAAGATAATGAAAGAGAAGACTAGAGAGCCATCCAGGAACTTCATTATCACTTACCTATTGTGCGCTGTTAGGGAACTTATGCCATCTGCATAAATGGTACAGGAGTCTGTTGGAGGCTTTAACAGGGAATTAATCTTAGCAACAATGGGGAGGAAGCATTTGAAGGGTATGAAACAAGTCACCAGACATATTTGAAAACTATTGAAGTAGTCTATGTAAGAAACTGTGGCAACCTGAAATAAGACACAAGTAGTAGATTAAAGAGATGGAGGGGTATGTGATGAGGTGACTGGTGTGGCTCACATTTTTCATTTTGGTGCCAGTATAGATAGTGGTACCAAGAACTAAGCAAACATAAAAAATATGTATAGAAAGATGTCATTGAGTCTACAGTGCTTGTCAGCTATCAGGGACATCTTCTTTGCAACATTTAATAAGAATCATCAGCATTGAGTTGAAAAGTAAAACTATTGAGGTTGTTGGGACTGTAGAGGAATAATACACAGTAAAATAAAGGCTCAGGTGTACAAAGAGTGAAACTCTGATGAGAACCAACTTTCAAGAGGCACAAAGGAGGGATGAAAGGCTTTGAGAAGGAATGAGTCACATGGGCAGAAAAAACAACAGGAGAAAGAAGTGCTACAGGAGTCAATTAGGTATGGAATTTCAGTACACAAAAGTTATCAACAAAATGAATGAAGTATTGCAGATAGTTCCAGTTTTTACATCTGGGCATACATAATCTCTAATTTTATTTTCTAAATAAATTATATTTATTTACCTGCTAAGAATCCAAATAGTGAATTTGGGAGGCACTGGAAGAAAATGGAAGCTGATTCTTTGAGGAGACAGATAAGAGCAGGAGAAGGGAGAGAGAGAGAGAATTAACTGGAACTAACTGGAAAAAGCCAAAGTATAGTTGGCAAATATTAATACAGCTTTGAAGAACTTTTATTTGTCTTCACAGGAACATAGAAAATAGGTTATGGGGTTGACCTGGGATACATATGATTGCAATAAAAGTATAGAAGATACAAGTCCATTGAGAATGTTGGTAAGAGAAGTTCTGGGAAAAGCAAAAGATAAGAAAGCACTTATAAACAAAAAAGGAAATTTCTTTGGAAGCAGATAAAGTTGGACTAGAGGTGTAGAAGGTCTAGAAGAATAGAAGTGGTTGTGATGAAAGTTGAGCTTAAAATTTCTAATGTGGAACAGTTCTAAGTAAAGAAAATGTCCTGAGGTGGGCTGTGAGTGTGGGTGACTGTTCATGAGATAGATGATATGCCCTGGAGTTAGAGGTCAAGGAACTGAGATTGGTATGGTGAATGTCCACATGGACTCTGAACCTCCCATGGACTCTGATGCTGTCAGGAGAATGCCTGGGACACAGTGGTAAATCATTTACATTTTGTTCAATGAACATACATACAACAAACCAAGTGAAACACCTTCATTGAAAATGAAACAGTAGCTACCAGACTGCATGGTGATGAAAATGAGAGGATTACTAGATGGCATGAGTCCCAAAGAAAAGGAAGCTTTAGAGAAAACCATGAGAACTAAAAAATTCTGGACTATGAGAAATTTTGCACTCATTTCTTTAGCCACCTATTTTGTTTAATGTTTGCTTATTAAGAGAAAAAAATATAAAGGATGAAGATTTTAGGTTACAAAATATTTAGGAGACAAATCACCTAATCTCTATGTATAAGTTTTATTTAGATTTGATTAAACATACAGTTATTTAAGCATATATACACATACAATTTATATACATACAATATCAGAGAAAGTGAATACTGCCTATATATTTGGTGATATTAAGGAACTGTTAATTTTTAGATGTGATTATAGTACTGTGGTTATGGTTTTTAAAGTCTTTATCTTACATAAATATTGAATTACTTAAGGATAAAGTGATATCATGCATGACATTTGCTTTAAAATAATCCTGATGGCTTAAGGAATGGGTGGATATATCAATGAAACCATGATTGGGCATACCTTAACAAATGTTGAAGCGAGGTAAAGTATAAGTTTTATTATTCTTTCATTTTATACACTCTTAAAAATTTCCATAATAAAAAGTATTTAATTCCTAGTCATATCCTTCTACAACTGGGTTCTTGTGCAACATGTCAGGACAGCTCTCCAAATATGATCAAAGTTATAAATGTTAGATAGTTATACCAATTCACAAAAGGTTAATTGAAAACTCTTAAACCAATGCACTCAACCTAAAATCTTATGGGTTATTCTACCAAACAAAACTGGCTTCAAAATTAACATGGAGGAGTCAAGGAAACAGATTAGGTTTCAGAAAATAGAGTTAGACACTTGTTCCAGAGAAGCCAGGAACTAAATGAGTCAAGACAATTGATGGGATCACAATGAAAAGACAATTCAAGTATGGCAATGTCATACCAGCCTTACTTCTTCCCAATTATATTTAGAACAACTTGCTAAAGAAATTGCAGTTTGAAAGTAAAGAATCAAATTTAGTTTCAAAACTGAAGATCTAGATTCCTATCCAGAAGCAGAAACTTAAAACAAAGATAAAATCTCAGTGATGAGGGATTTCAATGTACTCAGCCTGTTTTCCCAGAGCTGTTCCCAAGCAGGTCAAATGATCCTACCTAATGGAGTCAACTGCTTCTTTGAGAGATAGAGAATACAGGTGGCTTCCATGGAATACTACAGTCTTGCACTTGCATGTGCACTCTCCCCACACACACACATATAATACAGAAGTAGAATAAACATTCTGAACACAGAGATGAAATTCCATTTTGTAAAAAATCTCTTAGTAAACTGGTGGTAGACTTATTAGAACTGCATCAGAAAATAGAACGACTATCATCTCAACAATTCTTTTTTAAAAAAATATTTATTTTTTAGTTGTAGTTGGACACAATACCTTTTTCCATTCATTTATTTATATGTGTTACTGAGGATCGAACCCAAGGCACTGCATGTGCTAAGCGAGTGCTCTACACCTGAGTCACAATCCCAGCCCCATCAACAACTCTTTATTTAGCATAAATATTATTGACACCTACCAGGAAAATTTTTACACATTTGAACTGGCATGAGAAAAAAGAAATTATCATTTAATTCAGAATGACAGAGAATAGTTTATTACCACAGAATAAAAATAAGAAAAATCTTCTACACCAGTGTTCTCAAATTTCAATATGATTCAGTCACCTGGGAGATTTATTAAAACGCAGATTGCTGGGAACTGCCCTCACAGAGTTTCTATGTCTGGAATGAGGCCTAAGAACTGCATTTCTGACAAGTTTCCAGGTATTGCTGCTGATAAGCCTGCAGCCATATTTTATTTATTTATTTATTTACTTTTTAGTTGTAATTGCACACATTACCTATATTTTATTTATTTATTTTTATGTAGTGCTGAGGATTGAACCCAGGGCCTAGGTGAGCCACCAACCCCAGCCATGTTTTTAAAACCACTATTTTGATGGAATTAAATATATATAGGAAGAAACAATTATTCTTGAAGTAATTAGAAGGGTGAAGAACATCAGGATATATGTCATGACCTACAGCATTATTAGTTTCCAAGTTTAGATTCGCCAGGAACTCTCTCCTCCACAGAACTAATGTTTTAATCCAGTCTTCCTTCACCTAAGGAAGGTGGAAATTTGAGATCCAGTTTCCTCTTACAAAAAACTGTAGTGTCACCAGGATTGCCAAGGATGAATTCTTCTCAGAGAAACAATTGCAAGGTTTTCCCAACTTGGGAGATACCAATTGGAGGAATACACCTTTAAATCCTTGTTGTGAATTCTACTATGTACTGATTGTTTATTTAAGCAAAATACCTCATGAAAGAAAAATTCCCCACCACATTCTCATCAATGCATGGTACTCTGCTTGCTAAACAAAACAAATATCTGCATTTTAGAGGCTAATCAATAGTTACTTGAAAATGTTAAAAATGTCAGTTAAGCTGTTGTAGATATATTCTCTGATCATGTATAGAAAGACCCTCAAGAGTTTTTTTTCAACAGCTTTATTGAAATATAATTCATGTAACATAAAATTTACCCATTTAAGATGTTCACTTTAACGACTTTTAGTATCCTCACAGAGTTGTGCATCATTCATAAATCAATTTAGATCATTTTCATTACCCTGAACTATCCATCGTCATTATTGACCAATGCCATCGGCACCAGCCCCAAGCAACCACTTCTACTTTCTATCTGTACAGATATGCATACTCTGGCTTTTTTTATTTATTATTTCATTTAGCCTAATGTTTTCAGCATTTGTCCATATTGTACCAAGTGTCAGTATTACATCCTTTTTTATTGAGAATAATATATGATAACATGGATATGCCACATTCTGTTCTTCCCTTCAACAAATGATGCACATTTGTGCTGTTTCTACCTTGTGACTATATGAGGCATACTTCCTCCCAATTATACCCTTTATACCCATTATTACCATCATGGGTATAAACATTTAAACATTTTGTACAAGTTTTTGTGTGAAATGTGTTTTAATTTCTTCTGGATATATACCTCAGAAGTGAAATGGCTAAATCATATGATAATTCTGTTTAACTGAGGAGCTGTAAAGAGGCTGCACCATTTTACCTTCCCACAACTATGTATGAGGGTTCCAATTTTTCTGGATACTTGACAACATTTGTTATTACCTGTCTCTTTATTACAGTAATATTTCTATATCCACAGTTTTAATTTTCTGGGGTTCCAGTTACCCAAAGTCAACTATAGTCTAAAAACATTAAATGGAAAATTCCAGAAATGAAAAATCACAAATTTTAGGTTGCACATGGTTTTGGGTATCATGATGAAATCTCACACTAGCATTACACCCTTCTTGGGATGTGAATCATATCTTGGTCTAGTTTATCCATGCTGTATACACTACCCACCCATTAATGGCTATCACTTAGTAACCATTTCAGGTATCAGATATATTGACTCTATAACACTGACAGTTTCAGGCATACTGGGGGATGTCTTGGAACATATCTTCCACAGATAAGGGGGGACTACTGAATTGCCATCCTAGAGAGTATGAGGTGATATCTTGTAGCTTTGCTTTGCATGCTCCTAATGACTGCTGATGGTGACCATCTTTTCTTGTGCTTACTAGCTATTTGTAGAAATGTCTGTTCAGATCCTTTACCATTTTAGCTATATCATTTGCTTTTTATTGTTGAGTTACAAGAGTTCTTTATAAATTTTAGGTATGATTTGCAAAAATGTTTCCCCATTCTGTGTGTTGTCTTTTTCCTTTCTTTATAGTGTCCTGTGAAGCTCAAACATTTTCTAATTTTGGTGTCCAGGTTATTTATTTTCTACTTTTATTGATTGTGCTATTGTATCACATCTGAAAAGTCTGAAAAGCCTTTGCCTAATCCATGTGAGATTGTATCTCACATGCTAGGTGAGGATGTGCCATAACACAACCTAATTTATATGGGTAAGCACCTGAACACCTTTTCCCAGGTGACCATACAAGGGAAATATGATCCTAGGCCATAGCTCTAGACCAGGTTGGGATACTCCTTCACTTCATCTCTTCAGGTAGACTTTGTATTAGTTCATATCATCACAAGAAGAAGGATGAACACAAATGAGCTATTTTGAGAGAGACCACACTAACATAACCTGTATTATAGCATATTGTTATGTTTTATTATTAGCTATTATTAATCTATTAATATGCTAATTTAGAAATTAAACTTTATTGTAAGTATGTATATATAGGAAAAAGCATAGTATACATAGGGTTGAGTAATATTCATGTTTTAGGCATCCACTAGAGGTTTTAGAATATATCCCTGGTAGATAAATAGGGACTACCATAATAGAATGATGAGGAACTTCCCTCTTATCCAACAGTTCTTCTTGCTTGTGAAGTCATGAGAACTATGTCAACAGATATCGGTATACAAATCCACAGATTATGTCCATAAAAAGAAGTCTACCAATCACAAAAGATTAAGTGCTAAAGTATGGAGCCACCACCACCAGGAGTCAAATTGGAAATTTAGGATAAAACTGTGAAGGAACCTTATCCAACATACTATTTTTTAGATTTTTTTTTTTTCTTTTCAACTTTCAGGTGGTTTTTGCTCTTACAGAATTTGTGATAGAAAATCTTGGAAAACAGTTTATAGAGCCACCACCTGTGGACCTGCCTACCCTATACCAAGACATGTCATATAACACCCCCCTGGTGTTCATCTTAAGCACAGGCTCAGATCCCATGGGTGCATTTCAGAGGTTCGCCCGGGATAGCGGGTACTCAGAACGGTAAGGTCACATTGTGCAGTTTTTACCTCTTGGTTAATTTGTCTTTGTTCTTACCTACTGTGGAGCATGAACACTACCATTCCAGTATTTCACTAAAAAAAATTAAGATGTGTTAATATTTCTCTATGTATATTATTAAAAATGGAATAAAAATTATAAAAGCAGGTATAAACTTCATTTGAGCATAATGATTGTTTTAAGTCTTAAAGTATAATAATGAAGTTGAACAGTGATTGAAACGTTTTTAGTATTTAACATATTTTTTTGCACTAATGGGGATTAAACCCAGGGGTGCGTTACCACTGAGCTACATTCCCAAACCTTTTTTATTTTTTGGTTTGAAACAGGATCTCACCAAGTTCCCTAGACAGGCTTTAAACTTGTAATCCTCTTGTTTCCACTTCCTAAGTAGCTGGGTCTTTCTCATGATAGCTTCCAGTTCTGATGCAGCCTGGTCCCAGGACTAAAAATTACAGGAGGATGAAAGATCCAATCTCTTCATTTGGAGCTTATGGTCTACTTAGAAATATATGTATATGTGTGTATATATGTACACACACATACACACATATAAACACATATATTATTATATGTGTATATATTTATATATATATATATATGTGAATGTGGTCTCTCAAAATATCTTATATATACAAATATAATATATAGTATATATGTGTGTGTATATATGTGGGCATATATATGTGTACATATACATGTGTATGTACACACATATGTTTAAATGTATATATGTAATAATATATAAATAATATATTTTAAATATTTTAGTATAGTCAATATATATTTAAAATATATGTGAATATATAATATATGTGTGCATATATGTACACACATATGCTCATACATATATGTATGTATATATGTATACACACATATATATTTTTTAATAAGGAACTAAGAAGTCCCAAAAGCTGGAGATTCAGAAGAGTTGATAATGTGTAGTTCCAGTCTGAGTCCAAAAGCTTGAGATCCAGGAGAGCTGTTGGTACAAATTCCAGCCCAAAAGTCAGCTGACTTGAGACACAATAACCAAGGTGTCATTTGAGTCTAGTGGCCAGAAAAGACCAGTGCCTCAATTCAATAGTTAGGATAAGTTCCTTTGTACTCATCCCAGATGAGTTTTGAAAGCATGACCCAAAACACGCACAGAGCCCACATACAAATCTTGGAGATTTCTTATTGTTGTCATTCTAGGCATTTAATGAATGAAATTGAATTACTATTGAATTACTAGCTGATTACTAAGCCAACCAAATAGAGATGTCATGTCTACATGTCAGTATCAACATGCAACAAATAATACAGTTTTTATAAAAGTGATTCACAAAAGTCAGTAAACAAACCTTGAGTAGCAGCAACAAACACTGGACAGGGAACAATCTGATTTTTATAGTTGCCACTTTATAATATTCAAAATGTCCACCTTTCAAAAAGCATTGTAAGATATTCAAACAAACAAGAAGTATGGTCCATTTACAGGGAAAAAAATCTTAACAGAAACTGAACCTGGTAAATGGTAGGCTTTGAACCTACTAGATTAAAAAATGTATTTTATATACTTTCATTTTAAATAATACAGAATGATTATAATTTATAGGGTATTTAAATTTATAAATTGTAATTTATAGTGATGTTTCAGTATATTGTACAATGTATAATGATCAAATTAGGGTAAATGGCATATCTGTCACCTCAGACATTTATTATTTCTTTGTGTTGGAATCATTCAAAATTCTCTTTACCAGTCATTTGAAATAATTAATTGTTGTCAACCATAGTTATCCCATTGTGCTGTAGAACACTGGAGGTTATTCCTCCTATGCAGCAGCACCCCTGTAATCATGAACCATCCTCTCTCCAACCCTCCCTTTCACATCCTTCTCAGGTAGTAATAACCACTATTCTATTCTCTACTTCTTGTCACTTTTACAAATAACAAAGAATATGCAATATTTTATAGACAAAAACTTTAAATCAATTATTTTAAATATACTCATATAGCTAAATAAAACATCAACAAAGAACTAAAGAAAAACATGAGAATGATGTCTCATCAAAATAGAGAACAGCAGTAAAGAGATAGGATTTATAAAAAGGAACAAAGTAGAAATTCTGGAGATTAAAATTATAATTGAAATTTAAAAGTCACTAAAAGGATACATGTGGGAGGAGGCAGAAGAAAGAATCAGTAGAGAGGAAAAATAGGTCAATTTAGATTCCTCAACCTCTGAGGAGCAGAAAGGAAAAAAAGAATGAAGAAAAACGAACAGAGCCCAAGAGACCTGAGAGATACCACCAACCCCACCAACACACATAATGAAAGTACCAGGAGAGAAGAGGGGAAGGAGATTCAGAAAAAATACCTGAAGAAATATTCTGTTTGAGCTGGTATATTCTGATTCTCAGAACTTTCACTCAATAGGAATTATGCCAATGGCTTTCCTCATTCTTCAGTTTACAGAAGGCAGATTTTGGGACTGCATGGTCTCTATAATCACATGAGCTAACTCCCATTAAATTTATGTGTGTATCATGGGAAAACACACACACACACACACACCACATATAGGTACACATATATAACATTGGTTCTGTTTTTCTGCAAAACTCTAGCACAGTAGGTATGAGATTTCTTTTTGGGATAGTGAAAATATTCTGGAACCAGACTGCAGTGATGATTTTCCAACATTGTGAGTATAATGGAAGTCAGTGAACTGTACACCTCTAATAATTAAAAAAATAACTAAGACACTGTTAAAGAAGAAAAATGAGGTAAGAGAACTTTTTTATTACATGTCAAGATTTACTATAAACTTATTATAAAATGAGAGTCATTTATATGTTGTGGTACCAGTGCAAGTCTAGACTAATAGATGAATGAAAAAAATAGGTAATTCAGAAATGAACTCATGTACGTTGGGATCCTGTTTATGACAGAAGTCAGAGTGAGGAATAAAAAAGGATCTTTTCAATAAATATTCCTGAATTTACTGGAACAGCCACACAAAAAATTAATTTTGACATGTATATATAAGGCAAATATATAAAAGGCAAAATAATAACTAGAAAATAATATAAGAGAGTGTCATCCTGGGCAGTGACATTTTTTCTAAATACAAAAAGGTGATCGTTTTTAAAAATTGATAAATTAGACTGAAGTACATTAACATATAGGATTTTTATTCATAAAAGGCAGTATTAAGAGAGTGTTTTAAAGAAACAAGTGACAAAGTGGGAAAAAATATTTGTAGTAAATATAACAGAGGGTTTATATCCAACCTAAAGAACTCAATACAAAAAAGCCACTAAGGAAGTACCACCCAAAGGGTAAACCCTAATGTAATCTATAGACTTTCATTATACAATATTATGTCAATATTACCTCATCAATCATAACAAATGTATCACACTAATACAGGATATTAATAAAAGAAGAAACTGGGGGAGGGAAAGGGGGCTATATGATAACTATACACTCATTGTAAACCAAAATTTGCTCAAAAAATAAGTACTGTCTATTAATTAAGACTAAACTCAAAATAAGTTTGAGGCTGGAGAGGATTTTAATAACAACAACAAAAAAGAATAAAATGGGAGATAAAAGACAATAAAGGATATAGCCAAATAGTCAATTTAAAAAAGCAAATAATTTAAAACCTCAGTGAGACACCACTACACCAGACGTTAACCAAGAGGTGGAAAAAGAGGAACTCTCATCTACTGCTGGTGGAGGTATGGAATGGCAACACCATCTTGGAAAACAGTTTGATATTACACAAAAGTTATATGTACACATACTCTGTCAAACAGCAGTTCCACCTCAAGAAATATTCACACAAAAAATGGAGTGCCAACATAGACCAAAAGGTACATACAAAATGTTTTTGAAATCTTAACACCAAAAAATCAAATAACCCAATCAATAAATGGACCAAGGAGCTGAACAGACACTTCTCAGAAAATGATATACAATTAATCAACAAATATAAGAAAAAAATGTTCAACATCTCTAACAATTATAGAAATACAAATAATCAAAACTACTCTAAGATTTCATCTCACTCCAGTCAGCTATTAAGACTACAAAGAACAATAAGTGTTGGCGAGGATGTGGAGAAAAAGGCACACTCATACTTTACTGGTTGGATTGCAATTGGTGCAGCCAATATGGAAAGCAGTATGGAGATTCCTTGGAAAACTTGGAATGGAACCATCATTTGACCCAGATATCCCAAGGACTTTAAAACAGTATACTCCCGGGACACAGCCACATTTCACAATAGCTAAACTGTGGAACCAACCTAGATGCCCATGAGTTGATGAATGGATAAGAAAATGTGGTAAATATACACAACGACTACTATTCAGCATTAAAAGAGAATAAAATCATGGCATTTGCAGGTAAATGGATGGAGTTGGAGAATATAATGCTAAGTGAAGTTATCCAATCCCCAAAAAACAAATGCTGAATGTTTTCTCTGATGTAAGGATGCTTTATTCATAATGGGTGTGTGGCATGGGAGGACTAGATGAACTCTAGATAGAGAAAAGGGGAGGGAGAAAAAGGGAGGAGGCATGAGGGTAGGAAAGAGGAATGAGATGGACATCATTACCCTAAGTACATGTATGGAGACACAAATAGTGTGACTCTACTTTGTGTACAACCAGAGATATGAAAATTTGTGCTCTATATGTATAATATGAATTGTAATGCATTCTCCTGTCATATACAACCAATTAGAATAAAAATGTTTTTGAAGCATTGTGAAAAATAACCAACAAACAAATAACTCAAATATTCAAGAATGAATAGTTAATAAATTGTAGTCTAAGAGCACCCTAGAATATTATGCAACAATGAAAAATGCATCGACTATAATAACACACAATAACATGAATGAATCTTTAAAAACATAATGTTGAAGGGAGAAGATGGAACTAGGAGGAAACCGGATTTCTCCTCACTCAGTAACCCTAGA